GAATATACTGATTGAAAGTGCTAGCTTTAGTAGCGGCTTCTATATTAAACTACTCTTAAAGTGTCGTCACACTGGAGTTAGTGCTTTTAATTAGTGCTGGTTTTCTATATATTGCGCTAGCTCTCTAGTATTCTATTGGGTAGAGAGACTGATGCAACAGGGTATATTCTAGTAATACTTTATTAATAGCGCATGCCCCTAACATCCTGAGAGGAATGTTACTGATTCAGAGCTTTACTAGTATTAAAAAATTTCATATAGGGACACTTTTTGGCCTTAGTTTACCTATCCTTGCGTAATTAAGGTTTGGAAAAATATGTATATATAGAGTCGGAAAAATTTTTTTTTTAACTTTGTCTAGCCAATCCTTTGGGGCTGGAAACCTTACTATTACTGTGAGCACCGCGAGGTACGTGCTGGCGATCTAAGAATCTATGCAGGCGATGCAGGTTGGGCTAGCAAACTTAATCCTAATTTTACCTGACTTTTGAAACCTTCGTGTTGCTTTGTATTCTCTTTAGTGTTGAGAAGACCGAGATTGGTATGTGTCCCTAAGCCACTCTCTTTCAAGTACCCGTAACAGCGTTTAATAGTACTATTGACCTTCAGGGCTTGGCATTTTGTGTTTGCTAACGATTCATAGTGGTAGGATAGGAGGCCCTCCAACTGGGAAATAAATGGCGAACGTAGGGACGCCTGGTTTCTGGTGAGATCACCCCCTAAAATTAATGGATACTTAAATTTTGAGCCAAAGCTGCTCTACTATGGCCACTGTAGTAAATACCCGGCCGTGACTTTATGGTTGCGGTAAATTCCTTTGCTTTGCTCTACTTTTTAGGGCCGTCCTGTAATTTGGAGGGTTAGGTGGTGCCTTTGACTTAATAATCCGCGGTTCGACAGAACTTAAATGAAAAAAAATTAGCAAAAGGATTCTGTTGACTACGAACCTTTAATAGGCGCCACTTCTCTACGTGAGTACAGATTACTTATATCGTCATCCGTTTTCTATTTATGCTAATGTATTAACTAAGTAGCGGTAGCCATCTTTGAAGCTACTTTTTCGCCACCAATTTTATTCCAAAGTAGTTCTCGAGTCAAGAATCTTAACCACTTCTTATAAAAAGTATAAAATATGCAAATAAGACAAGCTGCTTGCTGTACTTTTACTCGGACTACCTTGTGATTCAAATTTCAATATACAGACTTGTATTTTGTTATTACCTTTTTAATAAAGGGCATATATCCTATCTTCTTGGTTCGATATAATTAAGTTTTAAATCATTCTACTTTCTTGTTTTTACCTCAGTCTCTCCTCAACTTTAAACGTTTCTGTTGTCTCTATTTTTAATCAACTTTTTTATCCCCTCTTTTTCTCTTTGTTTAAGGCTTCCATTATGCAACATTACCTTGTTTGTCCTTATATTTTATCTACCGTAGGGTAAGAAGATGATGTCCAACCTTAACAGATATTAGTTGGTAGAAGTATAACTAGCTATTTAAAAAGCATATTTTTAATGATTAATAGTTCTTGTAACTTAAACACTCTATTTTGTTAATTTAAAAAATATTTTATTAAATTATGATTTTTTAACCCCGTTTGAAGATAATTATATAAATATTTACAAACTTCTTAAGTTATCCTTTTTGTAGACCACTGCACAGCAGACAACGTTCCTTTAATAATACCTTGCCTCATGCTCTGACCAATCTTCAGCTATAGTCCTTTAGACTAAAACTAGCACTGACAAAGCTACAAACAGGCTGTCCTTTCCGGCACAGTAAGAAAAAAGAAGAAACAAAGGTTTTTTTACATGCAAAGAAGTTACACGTTAAACCTAATCCTAACCCTAGTTTTCATCAGTATTAAGCTATACTCGTACCCTTAATTTGGCTCATGTATGACCGTTCGGCATTCTGTAAAAAATTCTTATTTTACTCGTATTGTTTTGTACGGTTTAATAGCAATTATCCATGAGATCACTATGAAAATATTTGGAAATTATTTTACTAACCAGAAGAAAAAGTTTGGGTGAAATAGCTGGGAGTCTAATCCTGATTATTTGTTTAAGTTGAACTGTTTTTATATGTAGGTAGAGGCCTACTAAAGAAAGAACATTCCCTCGCAGTTTTTTAAAACTTTGGAGTGCCATTACAATTTTAACTAAGTCAAACTATTCAGTCTGTTTAGTCTTTTAGAACTTCATCACTTATATATATGACCTTCTGCTGCATTACTACTAAAACTTCAATTAATTAAAGCAGAATACCTATAAAAGGGCGCCAGACAGCCACAGTTAAAGTAACAGTTTGTAGGTGAATTAGGCGCGGAGAGTTTCTATAATAGACGCAGTTAAAAAAAAACCTTTCAATACCTGAAAGTTGGCTCCCAGCTCGTGAAAGAGTATTAAAAAGGTACGAAATTATATGAGCCATCGCCGTCAATTAACACTCTCCGTTATCTGTTAAGATAACATGTTTTTAAATAACGTGAAAAAAGCAAGTTTTTGTCTTCAAGCTAACAAGGTATCACGAAAATAGAAAATAGGTTCAACTGGAATAGAACATACATAGTAAGTTGAAATTATAAGACATCTTGCAAAACATCTGCTCTGATTAGCAACTACCCAGTAGGTAATTTCTTAAATAAAAATTCAAGTTAAAGTGTTATTTTATAGCTCTCACGATGCAAAGTCAAAAGGCTAATCCACTATAGTTATTGTAAACTATGGGCAAGAAAAGAGAAGTTATTTAAAAGATCAATATGGATAGTTGTATTAGGCGGCCATATTATAAAATCTCGTCAACAATTTAAATAAATAATTTTAAAAAAACGGAAAAGACAGTCTTCCTCTAGCCTGAATATGCTTAAATGTTAATAATTGTAAACTAAAGTAAAGACATACTGTAGTATTTTTATCTTTGCACTTACTTACAATACCTTCAATTTAAAAGCTTTTACTTATTAGCATGAAAGTGTGCGCTTATTAACTTAACTAAAAACTATTTGATGATTGTAAAATATATTGAGAAAAAAACATAAATTATAGATAACTGCTCCATCAAATACCTATTAGAGGTTGTTAACTCAGATATAGCAGTAAAGAGTGCACCTGTTAACTTAAGTAAAAACTGTTAATATAGATAATAAAATGAAACAAACATAAACTAAAGATAATTGTTCAATAAACTATCTATAAGGCCGTCAACTCACTAATAGCAGAGTGCGAATGTTAATTTAAGTAAAAAATATTATGATAAAATATTAACTGAAAAAAATTAATGAGATAAATGTTCAAAAATCTTTAGGTAACGTTGTCAACTACTAAGAAAAAAACCTTTAACAAAACTAAATAGAGTTAAGAGCTACTGGCCCTGGAGGGCTGGCAGGCAACTTAAGCTGATCTCCCAGGGGACTCGAGTTAGGTGGCGTGTAATGAAATCTTTAAGTCGAGGTTTTATTATTATTCAACTAGCAAAAGTTTTGATTACACAAACTTTTTATTTTTATAACGAATGTAAGAAGTAAATAAGATCTAAAACTACTTTGTTAAAAAGAAAGACTACCATAATATAGTTCGTGTTAAGTTATTGCATCCGTATAGGAGGCCCTGCTCAGTTTTGTATTATACATAGTAGAGCTTTTTGGTAGTAAATATATTTATATCTATTTTACATAGCACTTGCAGGAAGGCTAGTATGAAACACCAAAAGTTTGAGCTTATGTGGACAATAAGAAAAAACAAATAAAGAGAAAAAAAGACTTTGTTTACCAATATTATAATGCGGTTTTGCAACTTTCATACTGGTGTATGTAGTCTTAAGGCACTTCACGTATTTTTTAAGTTAGACTAACTAATTTACCGGTTTGCATTAGTAAAATACGATAAATTTGTCTGATTTTTCTATGAGAAAAGGTTTTAGCGATAACTTTATAATAAAATAGTTAAATTTGTATAAATGATCCCTTAACTTAAAAGCAAAAATTATATTGAGTCTAAAAGGCGCATGTACCTCCTCTCGTTTTTTAAAGCAAATATAAATTTACATAACTTATAGATCACAGAACCTATGAAAGGTTATAAGAAGAGTTCGAAAATTATACAGCTCCTTATTATTATTTAAAAACAAGTGAAAAATAATAAGCAACGAATTTAAAATCAGAAGCAAGTTGGCTTGAGACTAAATTTGTGAAACCGATGATTATCCCAAAAATCAACAGTAAATTGCTTTAGCTCTTTTCATGGGTACAACGAAATGCTCACTGCAATATTAGCAGTAAAAAGGTTGTGTTGTTATTTTACTTCATTACGCAACCAAAGAGGTTAACGTAAATTCTATTGTCCTTTAGCAGGTTACCTTATAAAGAAGGCTCTCTTAAAATGCGCAGTAGGGGCATGAAAGAGCCTTGTAAATAGGCTGGTTTAGACTTTCACCTAAAGGTAATCTATATAAGCAGGTTTGACGAACTTTTAAGTTTTCTTTTTTAATTCGAAAACCATTTATAAAAAATTTTTAATGGTATTTACTATTTAAGGTTAATAATAATAAAGAAGCTTAAAAATGTTTTGAATATTCCAAATGACGTTGATTTCACTACATCATCCCTGTTGATTAATAATTCTGCCTTTAATGGTGTCACATTTATTTATGAACACAAGATTTCAAAACAGTACTCTATATAAGTATGAATATATAGCTTCTTTAGTTTAATAACATTTAAAAATTATAATCACTAAGGAAGATAACTGTCTTGCAGTTAGGAAACATTGAGGGTCCAAATTTTTTTTTTAAACTGAATAACAACTCATGCCGATGTGGGTAAGTTACCCACTTTTAATCTACCCGTCGTAAATTTCGGCGCCAAATATAAATAGTGACCTGTTTAACTAATTTTGTATTTTGTATCAGTTATAAGCCATAGTTGACCCCATTATTTTCCCTTAAACAGCAATTTTGTTCCTGTTAAATTTTTCACGGCCGAATCAGTTATATAAGAAAATTTTAAGTCGTGGAGTCGGGTTTTTTCTCTCGCCCTTTGCAGCTTTCCTGTCTTTTCCTTTTTACTTTTCTTTTTTTGATAGTCTAGCTTCTAAGTATGCGCGAGGTAGTTTCTATTCACGTTGGCCAGGCAGGTTTGTACTTTTTTGCTCGTACATAATGTCATTAACGTTTCCTCTTTCTCTCCTAACTAACGAGATTCTAAGAGCATTCGCAACGTGTATATAGTTAAGTTTTTTTTTAGCATTATGTAAACTTTTTGTGGGTGTAAACATAGAAATATTTTTCTATCGTTGAATTTTTATATAATTAAATTTATGCCTTTAACTACTAATCCTGTGGTCCTTTAGGAACTCAAATTGGTAATTCCTGCTGGGAACTTTATTGTTTAGAGCACGGTATTTCCCCTGATGGCTCAATGGCGCAAAGAACCGATAATGATGCCCAAGACACCTTTTTTAGCGAAACGTCTAGCGGAAAGCAAGTTCCCAGGGCTGTGTTTGTAGATTTAGAGCCAACTGTTATAGACGAGATTCGCACTGGTGAGTACAAGGATTTGTACCATCCTGAACAGTTGATCTCAGGGCGTGAGGATGCGGCTAATAACTATGCTCGTGGGCATTATACTGTTGGTAAAGAAATAGTCGAAAAAGTAGTCGATCGTGTCCGTAAGCTTACGGACCAGTGCAGCGGTTTGCAGGGCTTTCTTCTTTTCCACTCCTTTGGGGGTGGCACTGGCTCCGGTTTTGGAGCACTTTTAATGGATCGCTTGTCTGAAGAATATGGACACAAGAAATCTAAGCTTGAATTCGCTGTTTATCCGGCGCCGCAGATTTCTACTGCCGTAGTTGAGCCCTACAACTCGGTTCTTACCACTCACAGCACGTTAGAAAATTCGGATTGCGCTTTTATGGTAGACAACGAGGCTATTTACGATATCTGCCGACGAAATTTGGATATTGAGAGACCCACCTATAGGAACCTGAACCGACTTATTGCTCAAGTCGTTAGCTCGATCACCGCCTCTCTTCGTTTTGAGGGCGCCTTGAACGTTGATCTAACGGAGTTCCAGACTAACTTAGTCCCCTACCCCCGCATCCACTTTCCTCTTGCTACCTATGCGCCTGTAATCTCAGCTAAGAAGGCCCATCACGAGAAACTTTCCGTGGCCGAGATCACTAACGCCTGCTTCGAGCCCCAAAACCAAATGGTAAAGTGCGATCCACGTCGCGGGAAGTATATGGCTTGTTGCATGCTCTACCGCGGCGATGTGGTTCCCAAGGACGTGTCGGACGCCATTTCTCATATTAAAACGAAGAAGTCTATACAGTTTGTTGATTGGTGTCCTACTGGCTTTAAGGTGGGCATGAACGCCCGACCGCCCACTGTGACTCCCGGCGGTGATCTTGCTCCCATTCCCAGAGCGTTGTGTATGCTTTCCAACACGACGGCGATTGCCGAGGCTTGGACTCGCCTTAACAACAAGTTTGACCTCATGTATGCTAAACGGGCCTTCGTGCACTGGTACGTGGGGGAGGGCATGGAAGAAGGAGAATTCTCAGAAGCTCGAGAAGACTTGGCTGCACTCGAAAAAGACTATGAAGAAGTTGGTCATGACTCCGCGGATGCTCCCGGCGACGTCGAAGAGTATTAAGTGTTGGGAGAAAACTTCTATTAAGTTCTTCTGTAGTTTACTTTTGGTTTATAAATAGTTGTCTTTGCGCTTTTTTTAAATAAACGTTGTAAGAGAGTCACTCTATTTACCTTTTATACAATTTGAGGTTCATAAATAGTGTTGTAATAACTACTATCACTCAGTCGTAATTTTGGCATAAAAGTATTATATATTGTGTTATTATAATTTTTCTAGATAATATTTTTACTATACCCTCATATAGATTTTGACACCACTTTTGAAAGTGCTTAATTTTTTAACAAAATTAAGCTATAAACTCTATAAACTAAGAATGTTATTAAAAGAAAACCGCAGGGCCGTTAATCAAGTTAATAGTATGTTCAATACTTTTTGTGTTTCTCAATCTTTTTTCAAGATGATGCCGGGTATTATCGGTACACTGTTTTATTAGATTTATTTGTAGTAATGCATTGAACTTTAGTTCAAAGCTATATGTACCATTCACTTATATAAAGGCGTCCTTTAACAATACTTTCGCACCTACAAAGGAGGACATACCAAATGATGTAATCTTTTTTTCATATATATTCAACGTAAACTATAAGTGTATAGTACACTTTACCAGCTTTTATAAAAAGTTTGGAGAGAATTTTAATATGATTTTCCTAAATTAACTTAGTGATCTTTATTATTACATTTGAGTACTGTAAAACTACAATAGATGCTTAAAGGGCTTCTCGTAACAGCTCTCCAACGAGATTTAAGTTATAATTTTCAAAAATTTTAACTAGCTTTTAATTGGTCACACTTCCTGGAATTGAAAGCTCAATTTCGAACATTAAATAGAAACTTACAAGTAAAAGTTTTCAAGTGTATGAATATAAAACTTGAATTTCAATATATTTTACTTTATCTTGATCGGAAGGCTTCCAGAATAGTACAAAATATCACTAATATACAAGATTTTTGCATTAAGCTTGTACAAAAGTTAACTATTATAGCAAAGGGGGTGAACGGTTTTAAAAATTTTTAAAACGTAAAATAATCCTTTTGTTTTACTTTTTGAGTATCATAAAACCTAAAAAAAGGAGGATGAAAAATATACCAACTTCAAATATTTTTGTTCACTTTCTGTAATATTCTATTAACATTTATTTTTAGCCTGTCAGTCTTAGTAAAGAGCAAAACTATTTTCAATACAAATAATTTTATAGGAATTAAACAAAATAAGAGCACAATTTCATATAATTTTTTACTAGTTTTAGTACATGTCACAATAATTTTTCAAAATACAAAATCGTGTAGTTTTTATTAAAGTTTTCTTTCGACGTGTACTTCAACATTTATATTAGTTCTTTAACGTCAAAAGCAACAGTATTAAAAAAAAAATGCGAATTTTATTAAGGGCAAGTAGAAAAGTTTTTCTTGGAAGATCAAGATAAAAATTCGTTTGCCTTTACTTTATTAGATGGTAACGTAGTAAGTAAGCTCCGATTGATAACTTCTAATATGTGGTGATTTTCTAAAGCGGCAGAAACACGTTCCTTATCAGCAAGCTGCTTATTAACTAAAAAAAAATTTGATGAAAATTATATTATTAAAATAAACGAACTTGCATCTTCGGTTCTATGAGACTTCGGATGACAAGTTATATTTACCTGTTAGAAGTTTCAAAAGAGGAGAGAATAATAAATAAGTAGTAGAAACCTTGAAACGGCTAGGTAGAGTGCGGAGTAACTGTACACGTATTGACAATCCTATGAGTGTAGCCATGCTACAATGTTCTATCGTTGGCGTAAAGGTTATGTCAACTTTATTGTTTTCATCCTCCACCTATAATTAACGTTATATTAACAATTGTTATATATGAATAAACCTTCACAACTTTTATTTGAGACTGCCTAACCACATTTAACTGTTCTAAAGTCATCGGGTGCTCTGGGTCACTAATTTTTCGGATAAGATCTTATTATTGTTTATATTTCTGCTTTCTTTGATAATAAAAGCGGTGCAAGTCCTACCAAAGACTTCACGCGAGTCAAAAGGATCTCGTACACTTTCATCTAATTCCGAAGGAGTTATCTTTCTTTCCTCGGAAACTTGATATACAAGAGGGCTAGCGTTTTCTAATGCCATTTTACTTTTAGTTAATACAAATTAATCTTTTAAATAGAACTAAAATACACGACTAACGGAATGCATTGTTTCAACAAAGCTTGCGCTTAAAATCCTATACACCTGCCCTAACCGGTCTGTCCAATAATAAGTGACTACGAGAAAGTGAAAATTTTGTTTGAGTATTCGTAAAGTCTTTATTTGTGAGTCAAAAGAACGCAAAGAAGGTTGTACAATTTTTTAAAACCGTAACTTGAGTAATTTGTGAAATTGTTATAATAACTGCGCCTCAAGCTTTCTACTGTTTCAATAGCCGTGGATACTTGAGTCTTAAAAACAGTCAAAAGCTACAAAAAGTGCACATCTCGGAGTGGTAGGTTATAAAAAAAAGCATCGGTAGATTTTTCTTTTTGCTTAAAATTAAATCTAACTTTTTTACTAAAAATTGGCTTGTTCCTTTTTCTGGCCTTTACTTTAGTTTCTCTAAATAACTTTTAGAAGCTTATTAGATTTAGCTTAAACTTTCTATAAAGTTATAATTATTTATTCCATAAATAAATTTAAACTTCCTATAATAGTCTAAAGAGAATTTCAGCCGAAAATAACCTTGTGCTGATAACTCAGTAATGTTACTTTCTATAATTAAAAAGTTTATTGGTAAACTATAACCTTTCTTATCGAGTTTTTCTTAAGTACTAAAAGGTTATGATCCACAAAATGTTTTAAGCGAGGTACATAAGATTTTAAGTAAATAGTCTAATAACAAGCATTGTTTAATTATATAATAGTACAATTAAAAAAAAAAATTTACTTAATAAACTCGTTAACAAGAATTTTTTATTACTAAAGAAAATCACATAGTTGCTCGAAATTCTTTGGGCTCATGAAACCTTAAATGCGAGCGCAAGCTAAATTAATTAAAAAAATTTTTGCTTTATAATATTGAAGATATATGGAATTTACAGTAAGTACAATATAAAAATCTTTAAAAAATTTTAGAACTCTTGTAGTATAAAAGTTTAGCTATTGATATAAATACACGTAAGCAGCCTTTATCAATATGAAAAGTTAAAAAATAGAATAAATAAATTTTTATTTCAAGTTTATTACAACTTTTGCGAATATTATATAATTTGTATAGTTCATATGATAATTTCTAATAGATTTATTATAGATTTTCTTTTTTTAGCTTCTTTGAGCTAATGTGCGAAACAAAAATTGGAGACTTCTCACAGATGACTCTTTTTTCTTCTTTCAAACTTTCTCGAATGTATCTATGAGGTATGATATGAATTATAAATAATTTTTTTTTATAAAATTTAAAATAAGAACTCTAAATTGCTCCTCAACAAAAATGAAATTGTTTCTTAAATATGATTATAAACAGTTCAGTACAATATTATATTTACAGTATACAGTAAACTTCCTGTAAAACAATTAAAAAAAATAGCAAATAATAATAAAAAAAGGATCTGCGTAAATAAAAAATTTAGTCACAATCTCAACCAAAAAAAATGCAAAAGCACACGTAACATCAAAATTCATTAAATACAACAAACAATAAGTTCATCATAATTCTTTTACAAAATTTATCAAATACAATATAATTTTATAACCAAAAAAACTGTTAATATTGTATTGAAATTTATAATAGACAAAATCTTATGAAAGATAATAATAAAAATAGTAACCAAAGTTTATATAGACTAGTTAACCACTATAATAATTATTGATATACGCCGGTAAAAATTAAACTAACTAATGGCTTTTATTATATCTGCTTCAGGACCAAGCAAGGTAGTGCCTTTATAGTTCAGCCTTCATACACAGATTTTCAAACTACTTTCACTAATATTATTGTAAAGTTGTAAAAAAAAATTCGAGGCGGTAAGTTATTGTCATTAAAAATAATGAATACGCAAATCAATTAAAATAAAGCTACAGCGGCGGGAGATTTTAGAAAATTCTACTTTGTTAGTGAAAAATAGCTTAATATAAATATACAACTTTTTTGTTAATTAATAAGTCGTCCTCCGCTCCCTTCGCATATGATTATTAATAGCAAAATATAATTTTACGTTTAACATTAAGTAAAAATAGTAAACAAAAAGGACTAGTAACTTTGATAAAATACTTTTAGAGTAAGAATAAAAAAAAGTAAATAAAATACAAAAATAATTAATAAATTTTAATTATTACGGTAAATTTAATTTAACATTTCAAAATCAAATTATAGATCAGCTATCATTTTAATATTAAATTAAAATCTCAAAAACAGATTTATAAGTTAATAATTTCATTCTCGTTATATTTAATAATCAACTAATAATTTAAACTTTCAGAAAAAATTTTCTTTACTTTGGCAAGAAAAACATGTTACAATGGGAGATGCCATCATAAAATCTTAACAAATCTTTTTCAAGTCGTTTGGAAATGACATTGTCTACTCCCGCTGGAGTGACATTGTTTAAAGCAGTCGGTAGTTGATAGTCACTAATATATAATAATTATAAGTTAATCACTCAACAATATATATTAAAAAAAAAAAGTAAAAATTAGTTGTATATTAAAGAGTTTGCACAAAAATTATATTAAAACATTACTTCTTTACTTTATATGTTAAAAATATTAAATCAACAACATTTATAAAAAATATTTACAAACGAAGTAAAAATTTTTATTCCTTAAAAATTTATAATTAATTAATAATATAATTTATAAACTATAAAATATTTCTTAATTATGAATGTTCAAATTTATAAAATTATTTATATCTTTTCCCATACTTTTTCTAAGATTTCTATTTATTTATTTCTATACGATAAATATAAATAAATTAAAGCAATAACCCCTGTGGAGATTTCACCTTTAAGGCCATATTAAACCCCCACAAACTTGCAAAAGAGGGGATATGAAGAGCGTATGGAAACACCAATGGAAACACAGAATTTAATGTGCTGTGAATCGCAGTAAAAACATCCTTGCAAGTGTGCAAAGAAGCCGGTCCACTTTGAGTAACAAAAACACCTTTAGAAAAAAATTATAAAGCAGCTAAATAATGAATGTAATTATAATATTAATATTATAATAAAATTTTAATAGAGCTGTTAAGTAAAAAACAATATCAATAATTTTGAAATTCAAAGTATAATGTTTTATTATATAATTATGCTTAATTCAACGCTGTGATATTATTTTTATTATAAATTCAATAATAAATAAAGTCTTTGATTTAACTACTAATAAATATACTATATATGTAAAATTAGTAAATAGGCTTTTAAAGAAAATAAAAAAAAAAAGAAAACATCTTAAAAATTATTAAAGGCAATAATGAATATATAACCAGAAGTTTTATAAGTTAATTTTTTAATGGAATATTAAGACATATTAAAATTATTTGTATAATGAAAGTAATAACAGGAAAACTTTTATTATAATAAATTTTAATTTAAAAATGAAATAAAAATGAATTTAATAAAAAAAATACTACTATAAAGCGATAAATAATGAATGCTATTAATCTTCAACTAATAACTAGAAAAACTATAAATTCTTGCAGTTTTTATTATAAAGTATATAAAATATAAAAAAATATACTTTATAATAAATTTTTTAATAAGTTAAAACTAAAATTAATTAATTCAGTAATAAAATATGAAAGGAGTATTTTATAGCATTATAATATTAGTAAGTAATGTTTTAACAAATAAAAATTTTAAACAAAAAAAACTTATGTAAAATTTTCTATAAAAATAAAATTTTAGTATATCGCCTTCAAATCTAGAATATTTATATTTTAATAGATAAATTCAGAAAGAATAAATATTAAAAGTCATTTAATTTATATAATAAACCAAAAACAATAAATTGAAGGTAAAATATTACTATTATAATTATAAAAAAAATCTAGAAGGATATTTACTAAAAAGAATAAGTTTATAATAAATCTTTTACGAAAATAATTAACAGAATATTAAAAAATTGTATGTATTAGAAATTTACTTTAATAAAGCTAAAGCAAACAAAAAAATCTTCCAACATTATTACACAAAAAAAATTATCGTAATAATTCTGGTTATAAAAAAAATAAGAACTATGAAGTTAATAATAAAAAACTATAGGCACTGTAGTAAAATATATATTTATAATTCATAAACCTTACCTTAAATACCAAAAACTTAAGTTTTTTTAACAAGACGTTACAGTTACATTAATAAATATATAAAGCGAAAGCTTTTTTTAAAAATAAAGGAATTTAAAAACTTAAGTTATTAATCTAATAAATATGTATTATATAAAAAAAAATTAAAGTATAATTATTTATATAATTTAAAAAATTAAAGTAAGATAAAAAAGGAACTACCAAATTCAGAGAGTTTTTTTAAACACATGGAGTAGAATTCAGAAGAGTATAATTTATAGCAAGGGCCATACTCTAAAGGATCTATATAAAAATTAAAAATATAAAATTAAATTAACAGAATTGTAAAGCGCAAGATTATATATAATACAGTTTATTAAGAAGGTTAACAGAAATATTTATTAACTATAAAAAAAATTGGAATACAATATATATATCATAAGGTAATTTTAGAGAAAACTATTATTTAAATTTAAAATAAAATTTTTAAATATTATGAGGTTCAAAGAAAAATGCAACTATTACAATACTCTCAGTAATAATAATTAAAGTTTAAGTTTTACATAGTTTTACATAATATATAGTTTTATAAGAGAGCGTATAATAAAAAAAAATCTTAAAAACAAAACAGAAATTTAGAGCATTAACTAGAGTTATATTAACGCTCTCTACAAGATTGAACCTGACCAAAAATGCTAATAATCACACTCTTATTATATGAAATACCAACGTAGATAATAATTATTATTAAATATGAAAAAAAAATTGAACTCTGTCTATATAATACCACATAAATCCAAGATAATCACATCGAAGTAACCGTCTTCATAACTTTTCAAAATATCTTTAGCGTCAGCAATCTTCAAAGTTAGTCTTGGATCTTTAAAAGAACCACAATGCCACTTATTTAAATAAGTTTCGGCCGACTACTCTCAAAACAGTATTATTAAACAATATAAATTAAAAGTATAAAGGAAAATAACATATAAAAAGACACGCCTGGCAAACAAAAGGGTCGATATCCACCATGACACACATTTCCACAGACGAATACTTCAAAACTTCCCTTGCACTAGCACCTTCACCTCCGCCTCCGATAAACACTCTCTTTGGGTTGGGATGAGAAAGTAGGCTGGGATGTACAAGAGCTTCATGGTAAATATTCTCATCAACTTCAGAAGACTGGACTTGTGAATCAAGTAAAAGGACTCTTCCATATGCTTCAGTCTCTATAATCTAAAAATAAGAAACTATTAGTACTTTATAAAAGAAAAAAGAAAGAAGCTTCACTCCTACCTTGACTTCTTGAAAATCAGAAACTCCTTGAAACAAAACTTCTGAAAAAAGAATTTTGTGAATAACACCGTTTGAAGAAACTTCCTCAAAATATTTTGTTTCCATCGCTATCAGTTATTAACTTAAGGTAAATCCGTTGATAACCCACTGAGTATCAACTTTTTGGTGTTCATGCACTCTATGTCCACCAGCATGACTTTATTTTCCCACGTGACATTAATTGTCCTATGAGGTTCTTTTTAGTAAAAAATAGAAAGCGGAAAACTTATTTACTTAGATTATAACCTTCGAAAATTTTATAAGTTAACTCTTATTTTTATTTTAAACATAAGAGACTTTAGGCTGGAAAGCTAAGAATTATACGTTTCACAGAAAAAGAAAAAAGTAAAAAAAAATTTTTCTACGAGCCTTTACCGCGCTTTTTACAATAATCACACGCTACAAAAAGTATCATTAACTTGAAAGGTTAACAAGTATATCTTGTAAAACTAAGATTGTTGCAAGTGAAAAAGAGGTTTCCGTTTTGTTAAGAAATTTTTAAAACCTTTTGTTTTACGATATTGACCCCTCACAACCGAAGGCTTGCCAGGAGACCCGACGAAAATTTTTATTAAATAAAATAAGTAACAAACTAATCTTACAAATTAAGCAAATAACCGCATTAATATACAATTTTATTAATTTTTACTTACATAAATTTCGTTATTCCGTTAATTTCTCAAGGCCGTTAAAAGATACCGTCTCGATTACAAACTTTTGATAAAAGTAGTATTTAAAAAAAAATTTTATTTTTGTACTTCAACTCATGTTTTTTTTCTAGTCTTATATAAATAACGTTTTCTTACCTTTAAGGTAATATATCATATTTAATTAAATAAAATAATTCGTTACATTGCTAGAGCGTCCCCCTTTTTGAAAGTTTATAAAAAGCCATGTAGTGATATCTTTTGGTGTTTTATTAACTGAACTCGGTGAGATAAATAATTTAATACACTTTTCAGTGGAGGTTGCTTGAAAAAATTTTGCAAGTGGATTAAAATTACATAATCGCCGATATCTCACTTAAGTGTGGTTTATATTAGTTATCTGTAGCGAGTGCGTAACCTTCTTTTATCGAAACTGTGAAAAAACGAAGTTATTAACGAGTCCCCGAATTTCAAAATACAAAATTAATTTTTCTTCGGGCTTTATAAGAATAAGAAACTTTTAAATAATGCCTATAAAAAGGTCACTTCAGGAAAAAATACCCCTCCGCACCCTACTATTCAACCTTGTTAGGGTATTTAAACCTTTAATTGCTAACTTTACATATATAAGTAAAAATGTACGGACGTGACCAAAACGTAAGCGCAGGAAAAATATTTACGCAACCGCATTTTTTTTTTTTAATAGTTATTATTTATGATTTTAGCGGATGCTCGGTAAGTCGAGCGCATACCGCTAATTAGTTTTGATCGAGCACATGTAGCCTGCCTTTTATCTCGAGGAGAATTATTGAATGTTCTGACTTTATGGTGGAAAAGTGTAGTACGTGGTTTGCCCCCCATTCACCCACCGCAGACTAACCAAGGCCCTGGAGGTTTGACTTAGCTCGGACGGGTTGAAGTGTTTTTCGCCAGTGCACTTCCCCTCGCTTGTTTATTTTGTGTAAATATTCCTTATATGCTAACAATTAAGCGATAAAAAAATCTTAATAATAATCATGAAAATTCCAAAATGGCAATACGCGTTAATAATTATGAAATGAGTTCTTTTTCTAAACAAACCTGTCTCTAAATAAATATGAATTAAAAAGTTTACAACTGTGACCATGGGTATCTAAAGTAATTATTCGAGTATAGATAGTTAGTTTCTCTATTAGGGAAGTAAAGGTAATAGTTTTGAAAACTCAATGAGAGTGTTTCGAATTAGCACAATTGAAAGAGTAATAAAATGAAAGATAAAAAAGGATCTTTATACCTTCAAATATATAAAGTTACAAGAATTTTGTAACGAAAAGGGTATAATTCGTTTACTTTATAGTGACTTAAGATAAACGAAACCACTACTAGATCATATTAACTTGGGAGTTATGTGAGGATAACTGAATGGCTACTCATTTCGATTAATTACGTAAATCATTATTCCTTACTTTAACACAATATTACCAATCAAAATTTACATCAACAGTACACAACTACTTTGAAACAAACCTTCTTAACTAAATATCACTATATATATATATGAAATCCTTTTAACCTGCCCTAAACAAATATACATATATGGAACACATATACTAACATTTTGTGAAGGTATATAAATGAATATTTATAGAGTACAAGGTAAACAAAATTTTTATAAGAGTTACCTCTTTAAAATAAATTAAAAAATTGAAAGCAAAAAATAATCGTTGGAGATAAATTTAAAAAAAATAGTATTACAAAAAATTCATCAAGAAAAGTTAATTATCTTAAAAAATTATCAAAAGCAATAAGAAAACCAACTAAAAGTCTCAACTTTTTGATAAATCCATAATGCAAACGTTTTTTTGATGTTTAGATAAAATTTAACAAAATATTATACTCACAAATTTGTTAGTTATACGAACATTAACCACTTATTTTACCTATATACATATTAATATAATAAAAAATTAATATTCATGTCAGAAGTGGCAAATTCGTGCGGCATAACAAAATGTTGAAGATTTTTTCTCAAGTAAATGATTGTATTTTCGAAGTTTAGAAGTAACTTTAAAAAAGCGTTCAGTTTAGGCTTCACTGTAAGCTGAAGATATTAACAATCAGCAAGGGGGGGGGGGAAAGAATCTTTTTACTCACACAATAATATTAACAAGTTAAGGGAGTAACCACTTCTTAAAATTATAAAAACGAGCCGGTGAAACGGCATGATTATAAATTTTTAAAGGCATAACAATTTGGGAGGAATTCAGTTCATATTATTTATAGATCAAAATTTCATGTAAAATCTTATTTAATTAAATAATTAAAAAAAAAATTTATTGAGAAGTCCAAGCTTTAAAAGACCAAAGTTAGAGTTTAAATATTTTCGGGGGAAGGCTCAAGACAATTTGAAATGTAATTAAATAAAAATATAAACCTTTTTTTTACAATAATAAAAATTTATTTCTCGATCACAATAAAAAATAGACTATACGCTAGCACACGTAAACCATCATTAAGCCGCTTTATAACTCAATTAGTAGCAAAAAAAAAATATTTATATAAAAAGTTTAAAGAAGTAACGAAGATCCCGCCAGTAAAAACTTTTTAGCAAGTGAAGATTCGCGTGCGAACTTCAATGTTTGAGGGCTGCAAAAGCTTCAGGAAGAATTTAATTGGGATTAGAAGACCCGGAATTGAGTACTATTATTTTTGGAGGCTTTGAAAATTCATTTCGCACTGGAAAGTTTACTAGAATATATAGTAGTAAAGGCAATTTTCCAACTAAATTTTATATAACGAAACAAAATAGTTTTTTTATTCATTAATATTAGAAGTTTAAGAACTATGAACCATATTTAAGGTAAAGGTTAGGGTTAAAAAATTTAAAAAAAAATTCATAACTAATCAACGGGGTCAATGTACGACTGTTCCGACAATTTCGAAATGGAATTAATATATTTCCATGAGTACAATTTTCAGAAGTTACTAAGATTTTATTTTTATAGCGAGCACGAGCGCAACAAAGAAATGTTATATTAAAAAATAATTCACTATCAATTAAAAAAAAATTAAAAAATTTATTAATAAAATTAATATTCACGCACAGGAAAAGATGAACAGATTGCATTTTTTCAATATCAGTTATTTAAAGAATTAAGTCATATTAGAAAAAGTAAGGACATATTTTTTTTTTTAAAAAAATATATATTTTGGTCATTGTTGTTATTCTATAATATAATTTTAAAAACGTGAGCGCGAAATTTAGTAAACTAAAAATTCGTATTACCAATAACTAAACACTGCTAATAATACCTTTCTTAAGAAAATAATATATAAAAGTCAAGGAAGTGCAAACTCACCGCAATTCCTAAAGGTAAAGCCGGTCAAAATGTTGACTATTGAGAAAAGTAAGCCTATTTTATCCCAAATTTCTTTAACGAAAACAAATTATTATAAATAGATCTAAGTTGGTTAGTATTATCTTAAATGGTAAAATGTTTAAGTATTAAATACACAAAGTTACTATAAATCAAAAAGTTTTTCTACAAAAACAACTTAATTTTTACAAAACTATTGATCTTTAAATTTTTAGTTTATGCAATGACCACAATGATCACATCCTACGGTCAAAAAATAATTTATAGATAACTTACATAAAGGTTAAAAATGTTAAGTCATCAATAGAGTTTGCTGCGATATAAGGAATTAATATGTTCATAGGCTGTCTTAAAACAATTAATATAAACATTGCATATTACAATTCAACTCTTTTTATATAAACAAAAAACAAAAATCGCTTTTAAATTTAAGTCATAAGCATTACAATTGAAGAAGACTAAATAGTTCCATAAAATCGTTGACACCAATAGAAGTAATAAGATTTCCCCCTAAATTTCTGTAAAAAATGAAAATGATTAACACCAAAATAAAGGAATTAAGTGTTTTCGTGTATTTGCGGTCCATTCTTACTTAAAAGCTTAAGTTATTCGTAAATAAAAACTTTGTTAAATTAAAAAAAATTTTTAAATTCAAGGCTGCACATTTTTAAAAAATATATTACTCAATAGACTGAAAAAAAATTACCATCAAGGTACCTAATAATAAAGAATCAAAAAAAAAATAATTATTTATAAAGGAAATACAGAAGAGAATGTGGAAAAATTTATATCGAACCAGGCAGTGAGTAAGCTATATTTTATTTTTCGTTTTTAATAATTAAAGGAGTACTTTAGAATAATAGGTTTTAAAGTAATATATAATTAAAAATAATATAATTTACGCCGGAAATATTTCATTGCCATAATATAATTACAAATCGATAGTGCTCGAGAAAATACACAGAGGAAGGCTAATCCTTCAATGAACAATTGTAAAGAGATATAAAAAAGTTTTAAACAAGAAAATTTAGATATAAAGTAAATTGTTAAAAAATTTTATGCAATATTTGTCAATATTGCCTACAAACCAATCTTTTTATAAAAAAGATAATAGCAAGAAGCAGTAAACATCAGTCAGCAAGATAGGATAAAAATATGGATGACAATGGTCTTGAGAAACAATTAAAAAAATTTTGTTGTAAAGAGTGAGTGGAGTCCAAAATAAATATTATCGAACTTGCACTTCTGCATTTAAGAAAAAATTATTCGTGAGGCATTTAGAAAGCACAAATTTGAAGAAAAAGATAAAGTAAAGTTGAGTTAATAAAGAAAATATAAATTTATATATATTTGAGAAAGCGAACACAACAACAATTTTTTTTTTTCAATAAATTTGACAAACTATTAATCCTTAATACATTATATAATTTTTTCTTATTTATATATCTCCAGCTGCTCCATAGCACCTTAAAATTTTATTTATGATATTTAGTTATAGCGCTTTTTCTTATTACTTCCACCATCAAGGGAACTAGAAAGATTTGTATAGTATAGAAGTTTTAACATTTTCTTTCTTAGTTAACTGCTTAACTATAATTTTTAACTTACTTCTTTGCAGTTATATAATAGTATAGCTTCCTCCGTTTTTTTTTGCTCAAAGTTTTAGTTTGTAATATATCTTAATTATGAAGTAAAGTGAAAAGTTTATTGTAAAGCGTAGGATAATAATATTAAAATTAGGAGACAGCACAGCTAGCGGTAATAAAGAAGCGGTGCCGATTGAACTATAGACACTTGAAGCTGATAGCGTAAATGAAAGGGAAAAACTTATTGAATTAGTACTTATACCACTTGCCTTAAGTGTTAAAGTCTTCCCGCTTATCATTAACCCCTCACTGATAGGAAAGACTTAGATACAACTTCCTTTGTATAAATTTACACTTTTTAATTGCAAATTTAAAAAATTTTAAGATTAATAACCAATAGGTAATTCGATACTAGCGGTAATTGATTTACACTAAAAACTTTTAGCAATGAATTTGATTAATAGACCGAAACTATCAGTTTCTTGCACTAGCTCACTGCATTAAGGGAAGGTAAGAGATGCAATTAAAATTTATAAATTTACACTGAGCTTGCTAATTACTGGTAAAATACCTACATAGACAAAGTATAAAAGAAAATAAGTTGTTTCCAATTTAATCTGGCTTTATATATACGTAGCACGCATGAACTTAAGGGCAAATTTAATAACTTGGGTTTTTTTCATGTTAAATACAACTAACTTTGACAGTACTGTTAAAAAAGATTAAAGGTAACTTGTCGAAAGCTAAGTTAAAAAATTTTTGTTTAAACGCTGGTGGTGTTTTTTTTTTTTTGCGCTAATCTAATAGAGTATAAAAGGTGATTAATTTCTACTAAAGTCCAGACAGGTAACAGTACAAATTATAAAATTGTTACAGCACCCGCTTTTTTAAGACAGAAATACAGAACATTGTGTGTCTGAGACTTAACGTTATATGCTTGGATAGTCAACCTCCTTCATTTTCACTAATTCATGAGTTTACCTTGTACTATATGATAAGATATACTATAGAATTCACACATGTGGTCGAAGGACTAAATAATCGTAGAAATTTATCTAGTATTAGTGGGTCCCCTCCTTACAAAAAGTAAGAAGAAGAGTTTAAAAAAATAGTAGCATGGCATGCATGAGCTGCATTTGTAGAAGCGTTTGCAGCCTTCGATTCCTTATACTATGAATACAACCGAGAACAGTTTTAAGCGTATCTTAAAAAACAAGGCGACGGCTCGCAAAGTGAATGTTAATCTTCCTGCGTGCTTGTAGAGATTATTAGAGGATTGATTATCAACCTTAATCATTGTTTCTATAAGTGTATAAACCCATTAAAACAGAAATGTATGTTGGTGTTATAATCATTAAATAACACAATTGTTTAGCTAGCATCCAGTTAATACGTTTTTTTTAAGAGAAATTCCAAGTAAAAAGATGGCTATATAAAAAATTAAGGGTAATCTTATTTATATTTTTATACTTTTCTAACAGTATTATTAGTTTTTATAGATACTTCCAATTTTATCTTTTGCAATTTTTCCCCTCTTTTATTGAGGCTCTTAAAGATCTGACCATCATTTTATTCCTCACTTTCATTCAAGGATCGTTATATCGGACTTCCCTCCCTGTATCTATTTGTTATCAACCAATTATTTTTATTCGGTATTTGAGTTTAAAAATGTAATTATAGCATATAATGGCTAATTTAATTATTAACTTTGCGTTTTACAAGATGCAGTTCTCGTAATTATAATTACACCGATAAAAGTTTTGAGAAGAACGAATTTAATTATGAAATTTTCTTTCTTTCTTTTGGGGCATATACATAACAAATATATTATTAGTAATTATGATGGCACAGATTTATTAGCACCATTTGTTAATAAATGTAGTACGCTAACATATTTGCCTTTTAAAAAGTTTTTATTAGCTGCACAATATTAAAGTGATAGGGCCAATTCTTGCTCTTATCTGCCTTTTAAGTGTTTAATTACAGCCAATAGTAATAAAGTAGACTTAATCCAGTTTTTATTAACTCTCCCGGCTTGGCAGGCGGCGGTATTCAGAAGATCATAATGCTGCTCTTTATTCTTTTTTTCTTGGTGGACTTCGTTTTTTCACGATTTGTTCGGTAATATAAAATTTTATTGTCTAGTTTAGGGTGTGCTACTTATTTTTTTTTAAACCAATGTAAACAAATGAAAAGGGTTACTTTACACGAAGTGAAAAGTTCACCTAAATTATTAACGCGTGTTTCTCACCGCGTTGTTCAAGAATTTGACACTTACGAAAATCGAAAGTTACTTGGAATATCTTATGAAAGAGTTAAAAACAAGGTCCATGAGAATAGCTAATAGCTATTTCACTTTTGCATTTATTTTTAACACAGAAAGGTCATGTAATTCTCTTACGCGATTTTATGAATGTTCAATATTATGGTTGTAGTAATTAGAATTTTTTAATCATTTTTTAAGCTTACATTAATCTAAGGAAATATTTCTATTGGTACTCCACCTCAGCAATTCCTTATGGTTTTCGATACTGGAAGCGCGAACTTATGGGTCCCTTCTTGTATTGCACTTTTAATATAAAGTTGATATATATTTTTTAAAAATATAAATAAATTGCTGTATTATAGCAAAATGCGGTTTTGAACAATTGGCTTGTTACATGCATAAACGGTATTATGCGAAGAAATCTTCCACTGCAGTTTCCAACGGTTTTTGCTATGTTTAAATAACCCCTTCTTTGATAAAAGTAAAGAAAAAGTGTATTATTTAAAATCTATAAACTTTTTGGATGAAGAAAATAATTTAAACTTATTAGTCTTGTAGTAGAAAAAAAATATTGTTTGAAACATTTTATTTGCAGAGTCTCAGCGCGTAGGCAGTCAACGTTAACAGATTTAAGATTTGCTTTAACTCAATGCAAATTTATATATCTAATTGCACTTAAAATTTTATTAGTCTTGTTAATATTAAATTAATTTTTTTAAATTATTTTTCTATTTCTATTTTGGATTATCCTAGTTTTGCAGAGAATATAAGTTATAAAAATTTATATTGATAAAGTTTGAAATATCCTTTTTATATATATTTTTTGTATTTTTTATATTTACTAAGAGATTTTTTAAATTCATTTAAAATATTTCTTGTCTTTTTTTTAATTTTTTTTAAAAATGTGAAAAGAATTATTAGTCTATGTTGAAAATTTTTTAGATACTTTGTATTTTAGATTTAAATTTATTAAATTTTTTATAAAATTATATAATCAACATTTATTTAATAAACTATCTAAATTTTACTTTATTTTTTCTTTTGGTTGTATTTATATAATATTTGCATTATAAATTTCTTTAAAATCTAATTATATATATTAAGTACAATAAACTTTTAACTAAATATTTAGGCACTAAACTTGAAATTCGTTACGGGTCCGGTTCCATAAAAGGATTTTTAACTCAAGTACTTTTTTGAAAGATTAATAAGATTTTAAAAATAGTTTGTTTTCACAAGTTTTATTTTAATTGGTTAATTTTATTATACTGCGTCTGACTATTTCACAAGTACACTTTTTGGAGCTGTTTAAAGACGCCCTTTCCTAATTTGTTGTTCTTTAGATTTATTTGCGTTTATTTGTTAAGCTGCATCCGTTCATTACGCCATACTTGCATTTTGTGCCTTTTTAGTTATATTTTTACTCATTTGCTTTTGATAATAAACTTTTTGTAAAGTTATAGAAGTTAAAAAAAATTAATTTAGTTTTTACAGCAAAAAGTTTGCGTTTGTTTTCTAAACTACACCCGTTCACGAAGCATATGGGCTTTCTGCCCCAGTTTAGATTGTTATTATGCAGCCTATTAACAATATTGAGTTTGATTTACCTAAAAGATTATTATATAAAAATTTACGTTGGTTATTTATGCGAGATATATGTTTTTTGAGCTGTTTAAGCCTTATTTAGCACTAATTTGCTATTGATAACAAATAAAGTGTTAAAAATATATGAAAACTGCACTTGCAGGCGTTAACTTGCGACCTTTTACAATATATGCGCACATGGCGCAATTCAAGTTTTTTAACAAAAAAAATTCAGCATTTTTTTGTTAAAAAGAACTTTTTTAATATATTTTTTATTTTTATTCTCTTTTGTTAATAAATTATTATTTTAATTGCGTATTTTTATACCATAAATGGAGTAATGGGAGCAATTATTTTTTAGTGTTGCCAATATTAATTATGATTGTTGTAAATATTTTCTAATTTTTTTTATCTTTGCTAATTGTAGCCTATTGAATATAGGTCGCCCGTTAAGCTACTAATTTAATATTTCTTTACAAGTGATTGGCTCAAAGTGTTACTGTATTTTATTAATATAAAACTTTTATTTTATTATTATTGTTTATTATTAAAGTTTTATAATGTACCCTCTTTTCATTTTATTCGTCAAAGTTATTTTGGGTATAATTTTTTATTACGTTAATATTGTAATGAAGTTAATATTTATTATTATTTTTTTTAAAGCTTATTTCTTATATTATAAAGTTAATCGTAACACTGAGTAGAGATTTTTGAAAAGTTTATATATTTTTATTCTTAGCAAATAAATAAAAACTTTTAGATATTTTTTAAAAGTTTATATATACATATATACTTATTTTTAGTTTTCATTTCAACCAATGAGAGCTCTTATTTAATGCACTGACCAAGGAAGAAGCTTATTTAATAATTTTTTAAGGACGTAGCTACCGTGGGAGATCTCAAAGTTCAAGATCAAGTTTTTGCTGAAGTTACTGAGGAAAATGGCATGTTATATTTGTTATTTTCGCTTTATGAATACGTTACTATCCATTATTTTTTTTTGAGTATCTATTATATAAATTCATAATCTTTATTAGTTGTATATAATTAAAATTTTTTCTAATATTTTTAATATAGTACTTATTATTATTATTTTTTTTATTTACCTAAAAGTTTTTATAATATTTTAATAGATAAAAATATTTTTATTAACTAAATAACTTACTTTATTGACTGTGGTTAGGAATAAGTTTTATTTTTTCTCGCTTTGATGGTATTTTGGGACTCGGCTGGGATCCGATATCCAAAGATCGTGTGAAAACTGTTCTGGATAATGTAGATTATGATTATTATTATATCTTCTTTATTCTTCATTATATATAATAATAATTATATATATATTTCATTATTACTTTTATTATGATTTATTATCCTATGTTTATTATTAATTATTCCTTTATCATTTTTTATAATATTCGTTATTTATAAAGTATTACTAACTAATACTTTATAAACAAATATTTTTGTTAACTATAATTTTTACTAATTATAATTTTTTTCTAGATACGAAAACTTTAAATTATTAATTTCCTTTTTACTACTCATTATTCATTATCGTTTACTAATCGTTACTATTATAATTATTATTATGATCCATTATTCGTTGTTCATTGGTAATTATAATTTAGAATTTGTTACTTATAATTTATTTATCGTTTTATATTATTATTCGTTATTCATTACTTATTTATTATTATTTATTATTATTATCTTTTATCCATTATAATTATTTATTATACACATCTATTATTTTTACTATTCATAACTATTATTGAATATTAGATGTTAGCGCAAGGCTTGATTGACGATCATTCTTTTTCTTTCTATTTAAGCTCGAATAGTTCGAAGGAAAACGGCTCGGAAATTATTTTTGGTGGAGTGGATAAAAAGCATTATGTTGGTATGTAAAATTTTTCATTATATTTTTTGATGTTTGTGATATTAATTTTGATTTTTTATTGTCTAATTTTTTTGGTTCATTATTTTTTGATGGTTTACTAGTTATTTTTTTATAGTTGTAATTTTAGTTTTTATATTATTTGTTAATAAAAGTATTTTGTTGGTAGTTTTTTAAAATTTTTGGGGGAAACGAATTTATTTTAATGAAATTATTAGCAAAATTTTTATTGAAGTTTTATTACTATTTTCTACTTTTTAACTTCGTTTTCTTATAATTTTTAGTTATAATTTTTGTCAGCAACTTTTATTAAAGTAGGTATTATTATTTTTTTGGTATTATAGTTTAATTTTGGCGCTTTTTTGTAAACTTTTTGGTTCAATAATTAATTTCGTTTTGTCGGTTCAAATTATATTGTCCCACAAAAGGGGTTGACCACTGGTTAATACAACGTCCTCCTATTGGCCCACTGTCACTATTATTCCACTAAACTTTGATTGTATATAATGACGGTTTACTTAAAATTCATTGGCCCTTTTTTTGACTAGTTTCATCATTATTTTAATATATATTTGTAATAAGACTGTAATGTTCAAGGGCAGTGCCCATGTGATTAAGTAAGTTGGCCCGCTCACGTGTTGCAGTTTTTTTCCTTAATCTTTGTTTATGGTGCGACTGGGTGCTTCCACTTTCCTATAGTATTTACCACTTTATTGTCTATAATATACTTTATATTATTTACACTATACTACTTTCCATAATATACAAGTTTTCGAAGACTTACAGTTTGTGAAACCAATATATTTTAAAAATATTACATATTATAACTGTTAATAAAAACTGTTTTATTATTATATATAAATATATATATAATTATTAAAAATAGCACTAATATATTTTTTTTCGGTTTTATTCTAAGTAAACATTGTTTATTGCAATTGTTGTCGTCATAATAACTGCCAAAAAAAAGATAATTTTATTTTTATATAAACCTTTTTTAATATCAATACGTTTAGGCTGTTCTTATTTTATTTTTCTTGATTAGTAAATATTTTTTTGTTGAATTAATAAAACATTTTTTTTACACTTAATTTTTCTTTTTTAAAATTTTTCATGTCGTTTTTCTAGGAGTCGATTTATTTTTTTAATATTTATTATTATTATTATTTTAATAAAAAATTTTAAATTTAAAAATATTGATTTGATTAAAAAATTATTAAATCTTGAAAAATTTATTACAAAAAAATTATATTTTAATTACTTTTTTAAAATTGAAATTTACGTAAAAATAAATAAATAATCATGAATAAATTTTAGTTTATATTTTTAAAAATTAAAAATACTGAGAAATTTTTTTTAAAAATTTTTAATAAAATAAATTAAAATTATTTTTTTTAGTAATTTTTCTAAAATTGAAGATTTAATGTAGAAATAATAATAATAATTTTGTTTTTATAAAAGTTTTTTTTAATATACTTTTATTATTTCAAATTAAATTTATTATTATTATATTATTATTATATCATTCTATTATTTATGATGGTTTTAATTATTGTATACTTTAAAGTTAATATTGGATTTTATTACTATACTCATTCGGTTAGAAATAATTATTATCGTTAAAAACTTCATATTTACTTTTACTTTTAGACTATATTTATTAATTATTTTTATTATTATTAATATTATACACTTTTTTTTATGGTATTAAATATTTATAGGTAGCTTTATTTTTAGATTTTATTATTTATGTTAAAAAACTTTTTATATTATATATTATTGTTGTTTTGTTTATGCTGAAAACTTTATTATTTTCACACTTTTATTACTATAAAAATAATATTTATAATTATTATTACATCTTTATTTATTTAATATTTTTATTATCTTTTACATTAAAACTTTTTATTATTATTTGTTTATTTTTTGATATTTTTTAGGTCGCTTTTACTTTTAAACTTTTTTATAATTATATTCTTTTATTAAAAACTTTTTAATTTTTTATCTTTTTAGGTCGTTTTCACTATTTTCCGTTGACGGTGGTCGGCTATTGGCAGATTGATCTCAACCGTGTTATGATTGGTCATGAATCACATGGGTTTTGTGAACGCGGTAACTTTTTATGAAAAAATATTTTCTTTTTTATATATATACTTTTTCGTTTTATTAGTTATTATTTTTTTTATTACTACTTTTTTTATAGTTACACATGTGGATATTAAATTTTATTATAATTCTTTTTTCTTGTTTTATGCATTTTTCTGCGTTAGAATGTAACATATATATATTTATTATATTTACATCGTAATATTTCCTTATATTTCGTTATATTTTGTAGTTTGTCTTTACTACTTTTTTGCTTACTAATAGTTTTTAAGTTTTAATATGATATTTATATTTTTTTTATAGAAATTTTTTGTTTTTTTCGTTATTATCAAATTATGTAATAGTTTTTATATTATTTGTACTTATTATTAATATTATATAAATATATAGCAAGAACATATATATTATTAACCTTTTTTATTTTTTTTGATACACTTTTTTACATTTTTACTACTTTTCCGTATTTATTATACTTATCCCTTTGTCTTCATATTTTTTTTTTATTTTGTAATAATAATTTTTTATATGTATATTTTTTGACTCGCTAATTTTTTGTTAACTTTTACACTTTTGGAAGTCACTTTTTTTTAATGAATAACTTTTTAGGCTGCTCAGCAATTGTTGATAGTGGAACTTCGCTAATTGTAGGCCCCAAATATGTTGTTAATAAAATCAACAGATTATTGGGAGCAAGTGGTATGGCCGCTATTACATATTAATATTTTACTTATTCTCATATTTATTATATATTTATAATTAATGTTTTTATTTTTTTTTAAAATTATTATTTATTTCAATTCAAATATTATAATTTTATATTTGTATAATTATTTTAAGAGTTATTTTTATTTTTTTTACTAGTATTATTATATAAACCGAATTTTATTATTTTTTATTATTTACTTATTTACTTTTTTATTTATTGATTATAAGTTATTATTTACATAATTTTTATTTTTATTTCTTTAATCATTATTATTGTCATATTTAATATTTATTATCATTATTTGTTTATAAATATATTATAACAATTATTTCGTTAGTTACTTATTAATATCATTATTATTCACTGATATATCAATTATTATATATTATTATTGTATATACAAATATTTATTATTAATATATTTACTTATTGTTATTATTTATTTATTTATATTAATTATTATATACAATACTGTTATTTATTAATTTTAATATTTGTATATATTATCATTATTATTACAAAAAGCAATATACTTGCTTGCTTACCTTTACTATTATTTATTAATTACTTTTTATATTTTATGTATCTTTTTTATTTTTTATTTTCATTTTATAATTTTACTTTATTATACTATTAGTCTATTTATTGTTTTTATATATTTATTGATTTTTGTTATATTAATTTATTAATAACTATAATTAATATTTATTATGATAAGTAATATTAATTTATTCATTATAATAATAATTATTTAATTATTAAATAGAAAATAATTATTTTTGTTTATTTAATAATTATGATTATTAAAGGTGTTATACTTGTTCGCTTACGTTTAATATACTTTTTCAGTATTTTTTATGCCAATAGTAATTATATTACTTAAGAGGTTTTCACGTCTCGTTGTGAAGATCACGTGGAAAAGAGCATCCCTTCACTATTAAAAGTTTCTTTATTATTATTTATTTATTTTCTTAACATGTGAATTACTTTAAAGTTTATAAATAATTGTTATAATCACTTTTATGTTTTAAATTAAATAAAAATTTTATTACTAAAATTATTTTAATAATACTTTTAATATATTTGATTATAAATTATTATTGTAATATATTTTATTTCTACAAATAAAAATTTTTTTTTAGTAAAGAAATGGTTTATGCAAATGTTTTTTTTTTACTATAAATAATAAAATTTTACTTATAATAAAATAGTTTTTATGTTAATATTTTATTTTTATTTTTATATTTTAGAATTTAAATAAAAGTTGGTCCGCGCATTCCTTTTGCCAGCAAATCAGTTATTATTATTATTAGATATTTTGTATTTACTATGGAAATTTTTATTAATAAATAAAATAATGCTGAGTTTATTATTTTTTTATAAACTTGCTTTTTAATAATATATTTTTTTATTCATATTTTTTATTCGTATCTATAAAGAAACGCTTTATTTAATATAAATTAAAAAAAATATTTTTACATATAAAAGAAAATTATTGTGTATATTATTACAAGGAACTTTTATTTTTAGTATAATTCTGATTTAAAAAAATATTTTTTACTATATTTAACGTGAAATATTTTAGACATGTGCCCCGAAACGGTCACGTGCAATTCATGCATTTTTGCTTTCGATGGGGTTTTGCATATGATAAACTCCTCATTGGCCGAGCCCATATTAAAACGTATCTTATTGGACTCTTGCGATCAATTTTCAGCCTCTCAGGTATATTTATTATTTTTTGTAAAAAGTTTTGTAGTGCTTTCTGTTTATAATAAATTATTTATTATTTATTATCTATATAACAGTTTTGTTATATTTTTTAAGTTTTTTCATAGTTTTATCATAATTTGTATGCAAGTACTAAATGTTTTTTTTGTTAATAATAATATATACATGTATTTATAAACTAATAATAATATATTAATAAAAATAAAAATAATTGTGTGGAGGCGTTTCTGGATGCAGTGAATATAAAATTTTTTAAAAAAGTTATGAAAATAACGATATTATTAATATTAAGTGATAACGAATAATAAATAATTAAAAATAATAATTATGGAAGTGTAGATATTATTAATAAAAATAAAATATTTATTAAAAATTATATAATATTTAAATTATCCTTAAATTTAAAATATAATAAAAGAAAGAACACGAAAAATAAAGTATTATTATTAATAGTAATTAAAAGTCAATAGAAAGGAAATATGAAAAACAATAAAATTGCTGTTAAGTAAAATAATAAGTAATAACCAATAAAAAGAAGAGATTTATTAACGTTACTATTTTGTTTAAAACTTTAAAACTTCTACTAATATATTTTAAAAATTTTTTTTTAAATATTTATATTTTTGTTAGTATTCTCCAGTAAAAGTCGCATGGAAATCCAAGTACTCGCACATTACCGTGTGTGGTTTAATAGTTTCTCTTCGTCTTTGTCTTTTGGTGCAGTTGTAGAGTAGTTCAGTAAAATAGCTGCCTTTTTATTTTGGTGATAGCCAATACGTGAGATCCTCCGCGGGTGGGGGGTCTTAATTAACCAATGAACCGCCGCTGCACTCAAAGACACTAAAGAGACCGAGCTTGCAGTTTATCCGTGTAACGCATAAATATTACACACATGGTCTATACGCTTGGTTTTCCACTGTCTTTTGCTGGCTGGTAATATAAAATATTAAACTTTTTACTAATAAACTTTATATTTCTGTGTTCTTAATTTTTTTTTGTATATAATTGTTTTATATTTTTTACTTTTTTGTAAAAATTTAAAACTTTTTAAATAAATTTTTTTCTGTATTTTTATTATTATTAATTATGAAACGAAACTTTTACTAATAAGCTTCTTATATTTTTATTATATACACGCGTACTTTATATATGAACTTATTGTTGTCGTAGAATTTTTATTTTGTGTGAAATATACAAAACTTATTACTAAATTATCTATTCTTGTATTTGCGTATATTTTTATGTTTATTAATAATTTTTTTCTATTATACTTTTTTTATAATGATAATAGTCATAATAATAGTATTAATAATAATAAACGAAAAGGGCTTCCTTGATTGCGATTCCATTAATGAACTTCCGTCTATTTATTTTATGTTTGATAAAATAAAATATGAAATGAGGCCAGAAGATTATATTTTAAAAATTCATATGGGAAACCAGAAAGCATGCGTTTCAGGGTATTATTATTATTTATTTTATTTATATATTATAATTATATATTGTACAATTCTCTTATTTATATTATTATTATTAAGTATAAATTCCTTTATCTATATATTATTGTCATATATATTAATAATTATTTGTTTTATACATTATTAGTATAATTATCCCTTTTCTTTTTTTGTATATTATCTATTATTATCTATTTTTTTATATTATTATATATTTTACAATCCTCTCATATATATATTATTTCTTTAAATCCTTTTAATGGATATTTGTCTTATTCATTATTACTATTATTCATTTTCTTGTTTGTATATTACTGTTTTATGTTTATACATTTCTCTTATTTATTTATATTTTCTTAAATATATTATTAATATTATATAGTTTGTTACTTATTATTTTATTATTCCTTTTAGTTTTTATATAAAATAATTATATATTATTAATATTTGTTAGATTTATGGGAATGGATATGGGCTTTTATGACTCTTGGATTCTGGGAGATTTATTTATGAGAAAATATTGTAATAATATATATTTATTATAAGTTTAGTTATTATTATATTATTATTTAAAAACTATAATAATATATACTGCAATTAATGTAGTTATTATTATACAAACTTTTTGATATTTGTGTTATAATATTATTAGTATTTTAGAGTTTATTAATATACTTTTTACATTTCGTGTAGTCGTTATTATTATATAATAAACTTTATTGATAATTATATTTTTTATTATTGTTTATAAACTTTATTAATGTATTTAATACGCTTTATAGAGTTATTATCACTATTATGTAGTAAACTTTATTGCTTATTTATATTATAAAAGTTTTTGATATGCATATATTATTATTATCTAAAAGATTAATAAATTTAATACTCTTCTATAGTTATTATTATCTTGATTTGCTATTTCTATTTTTATAGTATTTTTTATTAATATATTTAATTATTATTATAATCTTTATTAATACATTTAACTAAACATTATGGAGCCTTTATTATTTTTATTATGCAATAAAGTTTATTATTTTTTATTAATTTATTTATGACTATTTAAATTATTAATTATTACTATGTCTTAAACTTTATCACTTATTTATATTATAAAAGTATTTTTACAAGAATACATTTATTTATTATTATTATTTAAAACTTTATTAATTATTATTATATTATAAACTTTATTTACTATTTCTGTTTACTTTTTTTTTTATTTTTTTAAATTTTTAGTATTGTTATAATAATAGTAGAACGTAATTTTTTAGATCGAATTTATTTTTTTGGAGATCTTTTTTTAATAACTTTTATTTTTAAGATACGCACTTCGACTTAGGAAAAAGAAGGGTTGGTTTTGCTTTGGCAAGATGAATAGGGAATTTTCTGATTCTCATTTGATAAATTAATAAATTTTTTAATCTATTTTTTTATTAAGTACGTTAAGTTATTTTTTTAAACAAGTAATTTCCGTAGTTTAGGTTAATAAGATTTTTTTATTTAGTAACGAACAGCGGAATTACTGAATTTTGTGTTAAAATATATTGCAATTCCAAAGTCTTCACAGAAGACTGAGGTGTAATTTAGTTAAGAAAGCTTTACTTTATTAAGTAAAGATTCATGTAATTACAAGATGAATAACGGAGTTGCTAAATTTTTCTTCGAAAATTAAATTTCTGGATGGCTTCTTTTTTTTAGCCCGTTTACAGTTTTTATAAAAAAAAATGGAAATATAAAGGAATATATTTTCTGTTTCATTATTTTTAGAGTTCCTTTTTTTAACGATTTAAATATTTAATAGCTTTTTTTTGCGAAAGTTGTAGATCTTTATGAACCGGAAATTTTAAATTATTGTGAATAATTTGCAAGTTAGCAAAAGTAGTAGAGAAATTGAGTCAAGATATAAGTTTTAATCTTTACAAAATTTAAAGAAACTTAATGGTTTGTGCTGTCATTTATTTTACACTTTAAAAGAATTAAATTTAGGAATTATAAATTATAATTTAATAATTCAAATGGACAACTTTTTGGGGGATCTTTTTTAGAAATAGATTTAGCTTAACACTGATAGCGCTTTTGATTCTACATATAAGCTACTTAGTAGTATTAATAAGCTTTTCTTTTTTTTAAAAATTTCAGTTAATTGTGAAATAACTTTTTGCTAAAAGCCAGCAAGCGGTTTGAAGGCTCAATGAAAAGTTACTTACTCAATTATTGAAATAATCGCTTTTTATAGATACATTAACAAAGACTTAGTAATAAGTTAATTACTGTTTAATTAAGCTTTTCGATAACTAATATATTCGCTTGCCTTTTTAAATTTACTAACAGAGGACATTAAAACTTTAGTTTTTGTTTATGAAAAGAATATTGAATACTAAATTACTTGTCTTTAAGGATTTACTAATTAAAAGCGCCATGTAAACTTATAATTTTTATAGAGAAAGCATATTATTTACTAAATAATTACCTGTCTATTAAGATTTAATGACAGGAGCAGAATTATTATAAAGTTAATTTTTGTTAAAAGAGAATAGAGAACACTAAATAACCATTTGCCCTCCTAAGTTTTCTAGCAAAAAGTTTTTATAAAGTAAATTTTTATCAAAAGAGATATTGATTACTAAATATATCCGCAGATTTACTTACAAAAGCCTTATAAAAGATAATTAATATTTAAGTAGCAATTCGGTTACTGAAATAAACGCTTGGTTATTAAATTTGATAACAATAAGATTAAGTAGAGAAGACAAACGAATAACTTTTTAATAGCAAAAATATTTATACGTTAATAGTGACCTTTAATTTTTACTTTCCTGCAATATTATATTAATGATAAAAGTATAGTATTTTTAGTTTGACGTTAAAAAAAAATTTCGTGCTACAAAAAGGAAGTATTTGAGGATTTTAGTCTTTAGTTTCGTGTGAAGGATAAAGTATTTTTTTTTTCCCCTTTAACTTCTAATTTAGTAGGTGAACTAATATAAAAATTAAATAAGGATAAGAGGTACTAAAAGCTTTAGATGTTTGATTTAAATCAGTAATATATTAAAATAATAAATTTTTTGTACCTCACCTAGATCACATTAGAGAATTTACAGTAATAATGAAACCTGTAAGGTTTTGAAAATTATAACTCAAAATTGATTTTCAGCACTCAAACTTTAAAACAAATTCTTTTCTGTAGAACCTAACAAAACATAGAAAAGTGGTACAATAATAATGCTTTGTATTAATTAGACTAAAGTAACATTCTGGCTAAAATAAGTGGGAGCACCACAAAAAAGTACAATTTTAAAGTAAAAAACTGATAATTTTCAAATTTACTAATTACTTAAAGATAAAAAATAAGCTTATAGGCGAAGTAAACAAGATATATAACGACATGTGCAAACGCAAACAGGATAAATTTTAAATTTCATTTTCATATTCTAAACATGAGTTACAAATAAATTAATTAAGGCTGGCCGCATCGGCAGTTAGCAGGTTAGCGCAGAGGCAGCGTGCTGGGCTCATAACTCAGAGGTCGGAGGTTCGATCCCTTCACCTGCTACTTTTTTTTTCTTATAACTAACGCTTTCGTTATTCTGTCACCCAAAGAGATATGTTAAATAAGTTATTTTTACCTTTTTTTTTTGTATATTATAACAGCAACTAAAAGTGCAGGTTAATATAAAATATTTAACGATTTAAGTTGAGCTAGGTATTTAGTAGTTGTTTTTCTTATTAATAATCGTTATAAATAGTAAAATTATCACTGCGCATTTAAAAAAAATTTTTAATGGTTTAAATATAAAAGTTAAACATCTCTACAGTTGTGAAATAGTAACTTAAAATCGGTTTAAATATTTAAAGTAAAATTTTCTAATATACAAATTCTAAGTTTTTCATAGGAAAAAAGTTACATTAAAAGATTTTTACTTCTAAAAGTTATTTAATAATCGAATAGGATTATAAATTTGATGGTAGGAAGAAGAAAAATTTAAAAAAACCATCTTTTATTATAAAAATAGATAGCTTTATTATTAATAATAAAAATATTTTTACTGTTACTATAAACCGACGTGGTAGGCAGAGTAGTTGGCTGTGTGGGAGTTTATTTTGAATTCTTTAATAATTAAAATTTAACGGTCCGTATAGGAGTGCCAGGGTGGCCTAGTAGGTTAAGGCGTTAGACTGAAGATCTAAAGATCGCTGGTTCGATTCCGGCCCCCGGCACTTATTTTTCAAAATTATTGGTTATTAAGGAGAGTGCTTGGTAATGCAGTTCACTTTCCTACATTTTTTAGCTTTTTTGGTTACGTTTATCTTCAGTTGTGTAACATTACTAATTTGATTTTTTGGTAAACAAAAAATTTCGTTTAAGTCCCTCGTAGTATTTCTATCGTGCCACTAGGCCACTAGTTAATTTGTTACATTTTTTTTAATATTTTAAAAGAAAATAATATTGGTTTTGGAAAGATTTTGCACGTATACGAGCCCAAATTCTAGTAAAATAGTATAATGGGAATAGCTTTGTAGCTTCTCTTGGTTAATTATTTTCTCTGGGCAATTCCCTTTTTTTGCTAATAAGTAGATAGCCTTTAAGCGCTTTTGTACATACTAGTTTGCACTTAGAGAGCAAAAAGTTAATGCGGTTTTTATAAGAAGGGAAAAGTTACTATATGTGAAATAATTTATATTAAGGCTTCCTTTTTCGAGTAGTTTTAAATGACAGCCTGCGTATCAGCTTCTCTCGCCCTTTTTATATAGTATTGGTTTATTCTTGGCTAAAAAGAAGCAAAAATTCCATATAGTTTAAAAAATAAAATTTTTGAATAGCCATTATTTTACATTTTGGGATAGAATTATCAAATAAAACGTTCTTTTTGAAGTTTACTGCGAAAGTAGAGGTAAAGATTGCTTCCATGTATTTTATGTTCACTTTAATCTTTGTAGTAACTTCGGCCTACCCCACAAGCTGATTAAGAAATATTTCCGTTTGCTTAAATTTTTAATTTATAAAAAAATAATTTTAATAAATGAAGCATTATATATATTGTTGATTTTCACTAGCGGTAGGGAGGAGAAAAAAGACTTTACAATTTGAATGGTATAAAATTTATTTGATTAATAAGTTAATAAACTTTATATTAACATCAGTGCTATGGACATTATTGCAAAAGTTGTATAGATTAGCGAGTAAGGTTAGCACTATATTTGTTTTTATTATAGGATTTTCTTTCTTTTATTTAACTTTCACAACTAGTTTTCTTTGTTACAAATTTAGTTTACTTTTAAATCTACTTAACTTTTCTTTGTCCAAATTTTTTTATATATGCTATGTTTAAAGTCACCTAGGCAAAAAAGATTTCTACTATAGGAAAACTTTTAATTGTTGTATTTTATAATTTCCTTTAAAGTAAATTTAAAGATGAATGCTAAATCCTCCTTTTTTTCATAATATTTTTAAAGCCCAATAAGTAGCTATAAAAAAAAAACCATCCAGATTGATTTGAAATATTTGTTATTTAAGTTTATAAAATATTAATTGTAAACCTGTTAGAACTGAATTCGACGATGAATTAATATGGTCCGTTATTAAATTATAAATTTTTATTATTTTTAAACCCGTTAAAAAGATAATGTATTAATTTATTCAAAGGTATATTATAATTTTTTTTTGAAATATAAAACGTTAATTAACATAATAACTTGGAAATTGAAATAAACCCGTTAGTTACGTATAATGAAGAAATGTATACAATAATATTTATATTTCATAAGGTCTTATCGACATATTAAGTTAAGATTTGCGTTTGAGAAAATTATGTAAGTTATTAAATATAAAATAGTTAAAATTGTGAAAAGAAAAAGAATATATAAATTTTTATAAGTTACAAAGCAGCCTCTAACAAACTTATGAATTGAATTGAATGTAAATAAAAGTTACTTACACTACTAAATATAAACCCGTTCAGTAGAGATAACGTATAAGTTTAATTATGCGTTTAGGTCAAGACACGAAAGAACCAAGATACTTCTGAGTCGGATGAAAACACAACTCGTTTTAATCTTTCAGGGTTATAAGTTACAACAGATATAAGCGCTATTAAAAACGGCAGTGCCCATAGAAGTAGGGACTTAAGGGTACGCGCCTGTGCGAGGCCAGAGACCTCTCGGGTGTAGTGCGAAGCAATTAAATAAAAAATATTAATTAAGCTTTTCTTTTTTACTCATTAGTTTAAAGGCGCTATAGCATAAACAAAAGAACTATGAGAAAGGATACTCAGAATCAACAATAAAAATTTATACCAAGCTAAACTCACTGCTCCCTGCGGAGACGCAATCGAAGGTATAGACTGCTAAAAAACTTACCAGTGTTACCCAATACCTTTCGCGATTTTTGCTGTAAAGTGCGAATTTTTAATAAATGGAATGAGATCTGCCGGCATTAATATTGCCAAACTTATAAAACAGGTGTATGTTGATATCCTGCAGGGTTTTTAATTTGATGCGATGTTATACTAAAAAAATGGCAATATGTGGTCTTTGTTAGTTTCTTATTAAAGGAAACGCAAGGAACAACACTACTATTGATCAGAGAAGCAATAGAGGTCGTCTGGTGCACATTAAAGTCAATAAATTTGGGAATGGGAACCGTAATAAAGGATGGATGAAGCTTCTTTGTACTTTAAAGTTCTAAGTTATATACCTATCCTCATTTCCTCACTTCTCATTCCAAACACTTAAATACTTCTACTAAGATGGAAAGTGTAAAAGTCTTTGCTAGGTTATCTAATTTTCATTTTAACAATTTTAAGTAGTATGTCATGTACTCTTTTTGAAAAGAAAGCGGTAAGGGTAATAACGAAGTTTAATAACTCGCAAAGGCAATACCGCACCACTGACCCAGAAGCATTAGCAGTAATTTGGAGCAATCGTAAACTAATGGACCTAAATAAGGTGAGCAAAAGTAGAAGTAATTGAGTTGGACCTTGGAGGTTTACTGGGTTTGTTCAATAATGTAGTGATCGTAACTCGGTCAGATGGGAATGTATCAACAGATGAAAGCGGATAATAAATTGGTTTACATGAATTTTGCAATATTAGGTGCTGATAACGAAATTACAGTCTTGTGGTCTCGATTGGTTCTAGAAGAGAGGCTGTCCAGTACGCCTAGCGTCTATTACTGGTGAAATATAAGCAAGATATAAATTTTTAACTTGCAAGTTAAAACTTCAAACAGGAAAAAAGAAACTAAGAAATATTTTAAAGGCTTCTAGAGAAATAAACATTGTAACAGATGAAGTGGCCCAGAATTGTGTCCTCTGTTAGAAAATTGCTAATTAGTCTCAACTTAAGAAGGAAGCCCTGCACAATACTGTGAGATCCTAGCTACCGGTTTATAGCCTTCCTATGGATGTTATAAAAATACCTAAAACCAAGTCTGGTTTTGATAGTGTGTAAGTTATAATTGATAAATATTCTCGTTACATCTAAGTTAAAAAGGTGTTTTAAAATATCAATCAGAGAGATATTAGCAGCACTACAAATTAAATGAAGATGCGAAAACCTGTCGAAGTGGTAAAGAATTAAGGTTTCTTATGTTTTAGTACTATATTAAAGAATTTTATAATAAATTAACCATCATGAAGTTACTGTTGACCGCCATTAACGTTGGAGCTGTTTACCGATAGCAGATGCTTTTACAAATTAGGCACGAGTTAATTTTTCAACTATAGGCTTTACAGTTAATAGGGGCTGTTTATGGTATAAAGAAGTGAGGGCTGCAGGTGCTTAAATAAATGCATCCCATGCATGCCATGTTACTAATTTATTTTTATCCTCTTGTTCTAATATTCTTATAAGGTTGACCTGGTGCTCCTAAAGAACCCGCTATTTTCAAATAATTTTCTAGTGCTTTAATTCTTCGACCATATAAATTATACTACATTTAAGTTTATAGTATTTCTTATTATTATTTATTATATAACGTATTGTTGTCATATATATTCCCGAGGGGCCCCCTCATAAAATCAGCAATAGAAAGGATATTTTTAAGTCTGTCATCTTGCTCGCTCGGCGTATAAATTCTAATTTTAATTAACTTTAATCATATATTTATGAGGTCTTACTACCAGTAGTAACATTACTATAAAATAGTAACGCAAATTGTATTAATAGTTTAATTGTTACTATTATATTTTAGTATTATGGTTTCAAGTTTTAACTTTAACTAAGTTTTTGAAATACTTGCTTTCAATTTTTTTCTCTTATAACTAAATGTCATCACCGTTTACTAAGGTCTGTAACATCTCAAAACCTTAAAATAAATTACTCTGAAGTTTAGAGCATGGGGGATTCAAGGGGTGTTATAAAGGTAACAAGGAAAATTTAAGGTTTTAAAAGAACCACACTTCATTGCTCAGTTTTCTCACCGTATTTATACCTTGATCAAAGGTAAAATTTCCATATTTGTAAAATTAATTCATATTTTACCAGATTAATTTTTATAACTTTTGCTTTGTTCAATTTGGATCAAAATTAAAAAATGGGCTCAAGTTATTGCTTCCTTGTTTAAAAAAAAAATAATTTTTCTCTTTTTTTTTTATATAATCAACTTACTGGTGACTAATTAATTTATTACAGGATCATTTTCCTGCGAAAATTTAAAATGAAATTTCTGTTTTGTTTTGCTTTGTTTCTGTAATTTTAGTTTTTGGTTGTATTTCACTTATGTTTATTAGAGTCTTTTACATTTCATGACCGTCTTCTATTATATAAATTTATAAATAATTTTGGTCTATTATTTTGCTGTATGGTAGTTGTGGTTTTGTTAAACATTTAATGTAATATTCTATCATTTAAAGTTATTTGGGTAGAATTGTGTTTTTTCGTTAGTTGTTTTTGTTAAAGGGTTATGGCCTATTTTGTCGGTTAGTAATATTTATCAGATATTTATAATTACTTTGATTTAGATCTGGAATAAAGTCCTAATGTTATTTATATTACTATTAGCTAATAAACTAGAAAAAAGGCCTTGTTGAGTGCCTTAGAAGAAAAGAATTTCAAAGTAGTAAAGACAATACAAATATTAAGCGTAAAAGAGGAAGGAAAATTGGACTTAAATATTACTAAAATATCTGCACACAATATTTATAAAGTTAAAGTAAATTAGGATAAAAGTTAGGGTGTACAACCCTTGCAAAGGGCACTAAATAGCAATCCCTTTCGACTGGGTACTCTTCCCCAGTGGTTATCCGCCGTTATATTCGAGAAAAGTGCATATTGGGGACAAGGTCCATAATAGGAATCTTTTTTTGTTCAAATTAAAACAACTATTTTATGGTTTGGTTTACGGAAATGATACCCAAAATCCAAGTAAACAAATTTTTACCAACACCTCAACTACTAATTCTCCAATATGTAAAAAAAAGATGCTTTCATATTGGGAGATTATTTGTAAGCTATTATAGCTATGAGTTAAAGATTTCATCTAGTTTATCGGCACGAATAATTTAACCAAAGAATCTTTGTTTAAAACCATATAAGTTATATATGCCTTTAAAGATTAATAACTTATTCGTTATCATTATACTTGCATGCCTCTTTCTGAGGAGGTAATATAAAGTTTCTCTAAAACTTCTTTAACGGTACGAACTTTTAAAGGTTGGAGGATTTATTATTATAGCCACTTTTTAAAAATCTATTAAAAAGATTTTTAAATACTTATATTTTAGTTGGTTTAAATTTGGTTTCTTGTCTTTTAGTACTATATATAACTATTAGCTAAAAATTTTGCAATGAAGACATGTTGAGTGTCTTTAAAAGAAAAAAATTTATAATTAAGGCAGTAAATATATATTTAAAGTCTAAAAAAAGGATGGAGAATTAGACATAAATATATAAGAGTAAACTAATATTGAAGAAAATATATATTAATAGACACTATAAACAAAAAAAAATCTGCGCGCAATATAAATAAGGTAAAAGTTACTAACCATCTAATTTGTAAAAAATTGGCTAATAATAAAACTGATTGGTTGTAACCAAAATAAGATTTTTTTTTGAAGAAAAATTGCTAAAAAAAAAGCATCTCCTTGTTTACACATCGTTAGATTTCCCACAACGCCGAAAGTGGACACTTTGAGAAGGCAAGAAAAAAATCATATATAAAGTTATCTTAGTTCTGACAATATCAAGACTAATTTGTGGAAAAGATTCTACGTCCATCAAATACAAGTACTTAAAGAATTTATAAATATACTATTTGCTTATATTGTTTAACTTAATTAAAAAAATTTACTTTATGGTTTTGTAAGCATTCCATAATAAACCAAAATGCTTAAAAAGCCGTTTATTTTAACCTACAATTGTTGATAGTGTCTTTCTTTTGGGCTTGCATCTTGTATATTGCATTAAACAAGAGTACACTAGCCACTCCTGAGGCAAGCTATAAAATTTTTAATGAAGGCCTCCCCAAATTTAATTATACTTTCGTTTTTAAAAAAGGTGAGATTAATTCAGAATATAGCTTAAACTCTTGGTATTTCGAAATATTCAACATACAGGAACTTTAAATGCAACTTTTCCAAGGAGTTATGAGTATAGCTACATAGGCTTAGAAATGTGGAACTCCAGAGGAATCTCTCTTGAAAGAGGAATTCAAGCCATGCTGGGAGATAGTTACGCCTTTTACGAGTCCCCCTTGTTTACAAAGTTAAAGTATATCTGTACCGGTAAACTTTTACATTAAATAGTTATATTTCATATAACATTTTATTCCTTCTTCCTTTTAAGGCACCGTAAATGAAATAAAGAGGGTTATAAATCCAACTTATGGGCACTGGAGTGTAGACAGTATTTTTAAATTTTATGCTCAGCTTGAAGCCGAGATTAAAGATTATTCAATCATTAACGTGCAAAAAGAGTGTGTTGATTATTGTTACCGCGTCTTGGACAAAACACGACCGGACGGTTTAGTTAATCAAAATTTTCAGATGTGCGCCGTGTCTTTCGCGAAATACAAAATTGATAGATTGGTTGAACTATATTTAAAGCAATTTTATTCTCGTGAGAAGTTTTTATCATTTGTAATGGGTTTTGGAGACTATATTGAACCTAATGGTACTATATACGTTACACTCAACGACGGCATTGCAGTATATATTTATGGCCCAAATGCTATAACACTTTCCCCAGAGGTCCTAATCATATATCTAGAAATATTATAAACTTATATATTTTTATTGTAAGGCCTTACAAAGAGGCGTTGATTTGAATGTTTTAAAGGGGTACGGTAATTTTCTTAGAAAGTACGGTGCCTCTGTTAAACTACATGTTCCAGAAATAATACCCTTCATATCCTATTTTTCATGCGAGGATGGAGACAATAGCGAATTTATAATTCCAGGTAGGAAAGTAACCTACTAAGAATTGCTTAGAGTTTGAATTTTATAATTTTGTGAGGTTATATACACCCTGAACACATTATTAAATACGAAGTAAGGAAAAAAACAGAAGATATCAAGGTGTCTAACTATGGTCTTCTGGAGTACAGCTTTGTCAAATATACGACTGATATTTTTAATTCTTCCTTCATACTTGTCTTTTCTGGTATTTTAATTTAAAGCCAGTTTGTAATTTACTCAGAATTATAAAATTATAAAGGGCTTGGTGACGAAACCAATAGGACTTATACACTAACGGCGCAAAAACCCAATGATTTTTATAGGCTCTATCCTGCCGAACAAGGTATTTATAAAGATAAAAATTTAGATCCTTAAAAATCAATAAGCTTTTCAACTTTAGACCTATAACTAAAGCCTTTTAGAAATTCTAAGAAATGTCAAGTGTTTAGTAGCCAAGCACTACTATTTAACTGTTGATATTAATGTATATAATTTTCGTGGAGGCTTCAGAGGCTGTTCCCCGGAATTTAGCAACTTTTTTCCGCCTAAATCAATAGTGGACGACCAAACTCTTCCAGTTGTAGCTCTCATCTACCCATTTTACAAAAACTTAGAAGCTAACCGGTAGAGTCTTGTAAAATTTAATTTTGTCAAAAAAAATTGCAACATGTTAGGATTCTTTTTTTATATATATAATCTTATAGTAGTTCAATTTTTCAGTTACCACTTTTTACTTTTTTTTTCTAATTATATATTTCAATGCTCGTCACTAAGGAAAAGATATGACTATTATATGAACCTATTTAAAAAACTCACACGAGATCAGCCCAAATTGATTTGTAGTTACCCTTAAACTTTTATTAAACCGGTATATACTTTGTAACTATAATCTAATTTTCAGTCGAGTCCCACAACTTTAGCAAACTTAAGTCTTATAACTTTATCACTTCTGACGATGGAAGTTTCTACTCCAAAGTTATAACATTAGAAGATATAAGAAACCATGAAGAGCTTTTTACTAACAATTTTTCGACATCTATTTCACGGATACCACTTAATTCGAAAAGAAATCTTGACGGGTGAGTTATAAGAGTCTTCTAAACTGCATTAAAATCTTTTTTAAAAAATTTTGCATAGGGGGGGTTGGGCCTTGCTTATGTCGCTTCAGTTGGTTACTGTTTTAAGTGATTACTGCACTCGCAAAGGTGCGCATGTCACAGAAGTGTGTTTTCTCGGTATAGTTATTTTTTATTAAAGGTCTATTAACTGCCCAGAAAGATGGCTCCGGAAGCTTAAGAATTTCCGCACTCTCCATTACGTTGAGTTCTGCTATAGCTACACTCATCCCCTTTTCTCTTTTACAGTTTGCGCTGTCAAAGTTCACTTCATTTACGCTTACACCGTGCTATTTCGAGGAGAAGCCACCTGATCTTTTATCTTCCCTACGTACGGCGAAAATTTTTTGCGTTTAGCTATTGCATCAGCAGCTTAGCCTATATTGTTTATACAAATTGCTAGAAATATTTTTAACTATTAATTTGTTAAAAAGTTCGTTAATAAGTTTATTAAAATAGTTAAAGTTTTTAAAAAAAGTTATGTTAGTAAAAATTTGTTAGCAGAAAGGTTGACTTTTTTTCCACCGGAAACGAATAACGGGCTTTTGAGTTTTAAAAAGAAAGTATAAAGTTAGTTTATAGCAATTAATAAGTTTGGTTCTCTTTAGAGCTATTTATGTTAATATTATTCTAGGAATCCTGGATTTATACTTACCTTTATTATAAATATTTATTGTTCCAGATTCCATTTAAATTTATTTTATTTTATATACATGACGCCTTTAAAAAACCTATTATTATTTTTTTTATTTGTAAATTAGAAGCGTAAGTTTTACATAAATGGTTTTCAAGCGTTTCTTACGGTTCCACTAGATTGAGTGTTTTGACTTTTAAGTAAACTGAAAAATTATCTTGTTTATCTCGTATTTATATTTAGACATTACTGTCGACTGTCTACCGCAGGGGCCGCTTTCCATGGGTAGACAGATTCAGCTGCATCCAATAATTATTCCTTGCATGGCCTGTTTGTCACCTTTGTACTATCTCTGTGTGAGTGTTCTTGCCGAAAAAGAAACCTACATTCATTTCAAAACTGCTTCGGCTGTGGCCGTTTCAATAATGATCGACATCATTAGCAATTTGGTAAGCCCGGAAAATTGTAGGAGCAAACTCAAGTGCCTCAATTTACATTATTGTTAAGGAAAGTGCAAGCATCAGCTCCACGCTGATTTCTTATTTTTCGGGTCTGCTATGTCTTGCTGGCTGTGTGCTACTCATATTAAAAACAAAAGTAATTCTTATATTTTTAGTAATATATTTTTATTGTAAGGCTAAAAGCAAATAATCTCTAAAGTTTCAGAAAAAGGAGGCTTTGTCTTTGACTTTACTTATAGTGGCCACATTTCTGTGGATTATTCTTGTAAAATACTCATTTACTACTTGGAGGTTTATTATTAAGTTTATCTGTTTCATATATGGTCATTTTATTGTATTTAAAGAATAAACATGTTTGCCCTATTATCAATGGAAGCTACTATGGCTCCCATTAGCGTTTTTGCCTTCTGTATACTTTTTAAAAAATTAAGTAATCCCTTTTTTTAGGTTTACTTAATGATCTCAAAGTTAACTTTAACCAATACTTATATTTTAGGCAAAAGCAATTTTTTATTTTTCGATGAAATTGGAAGCAAAGTTCTTCAAATTTTTGGCGAACACAAAGAAAAGGAATTCCTTCTGACTGATGAGGTCACGGCTTCAAACTCGGAAACTGAAGTAACGGGGCCCTCAATTGCGTTAAATTCAGAAGATGCTGTAATTCAAACGACCAATAGTAACCGCCCCTCCCCACAAAATTCAAGTGTTTTTCACATCTCTACAACTTCCTTAAGGTTGAGTTTGTTCAGCGGTTCTTCCAGCTTCTGGCTGTTGATCAGTAGAGTACTGGCTAACTTGGAAGCGATATTTTTTACACATATAGTGGCCAACTCTGGTGTTGGTCAAGTTCTTTTTCTTTCGTTATGCCTGCGGTTACTACTTGTGTTCATATCGAACTATCTTTACTTTTATGCACAGTATAAAAGTTTTTTTCGCTCCGAACTTGTTTCTCTCGCTTTGTTGTTCGCATCTGTAGTGATGATGACTTTCGTAAGTTGAGTGTTAATAAATGTGTGCCTCTAATTCAGCTGTGAGTCTGTTTATCAAGTAATTATAGTATATTATAATCGCAATACCCATTGAAATTTTTTTTTATTTCGAAGTAGGGCTATTTTTATGTTTACCCCACCTTAGTGGTATTATCATGAAGCATTTTCTAGATTAAACCGTCTTCGTATATATATATTATATGTATTAATAAAAATTATACGGGGGTTGTCAATGGGTTTATATTACCCGACACTATTGTTAGTTTGCAGCATGTCAAGAGAGCTGTCAGCGATTTAGATTTTAAAACTGAATTGAAAGATAAGTTAAGCTTTAAGTGAGAACTACTATTATTACGTAATTTTAAATTATGATTCAAGTTATACAATGTTCGTGTAACAGAATATAAATTTCTAGTTTTTTACTGTCCTTTTATCGCTTTACATAATAGCATGTTTACCGTTTTCTTTACTTTTTGCAAATAAATATGACGAGTTAAATAGATCTCTTTCTATATTTAAAAGTCAAACTGTTTTGTTACGTCTGCTATTCTGCTATTAATGAAGAATAGGTCAGTTACCTTATTAGAATTGTTGATTAGTTCCGTTACTGGTTTTATAATCTTAACGATAAAACATGTAATAAGAAAATCTCAACCCTTCAATCTAATAAGAATCAAAATTATTGTCATATTTTAATCGGAAGAATTGTTACTTAAAACATAAACGTAAGGATGATTTATTTAAGTTTTCCTAAATCTTAGTTCCTTCCATATTTCGCTCATCTCACTTTGTTTAATTTTTTATTGCGTTTCTATCACCAACTTAGTACAAACGTAATTATACAAGCCTGGCTATTAGCCAAGGTAAAGTTTATATTTTTTCCTCAAAAAAAGCCTTGGAAACTATACTAGTAATAATGCATTTTAGTACTAAAGCGTGAAAACTTACTAATTATTGATTATTGCTAGGGAATACGTCTCACTTAACGAGAATTTTGTTTTGCATCCATATTAAGATTATTTATATTCTCTAAACAAAAAAAAAAATTAATAATTGTGGTATAGTATGTAACTATAATTTTTGGAAAAAATTATAACAAAAAAACCCGGGTTGCATAAATTTGTTATGAGACTAAGCTGTAACTAATGTATTACTATTTGAAGAACCTCCCTACGTGCTCCTTTAAGAAGAATACAGAAGTTACTTTTCACTTGGCAGCCTATAAACCTACTTGACTAAGTTTTTTTTCCTGCAGAAACAATCTTAATTGCATTTTTCTATATAGATTCCAAAGTAAGCCGTTTTATTACTAGTTTTAATTAGTGAAATGAATTAGCAAACGAGAGGGCTATCAATCTTCTCGGCCAGCTAATGATCTACTTATAAAGTAAAATCTTGTCCTTGTACAGAGACTTCAATTTTGTTATTTTTTTTTAAGTAAAGTGCTTTTGCTCTTTTCTAATTTCTGTTTAGTTTTCTAACTTCTATGTTTTGTTCAGTCCTTCTAGAACACTCTACTTTTAAGTTATATTCTTACTTTAAGTTCCTAATAGCATACTTGTTTGTTCGAGTTTGTCTGTCGTGGGGCTCTATACTATTTTTATAAGCGCTACGGTCTCAGAATTGTAATAATTAGGTTCCAGGTTTACTGACGCAGTAAAACAACCTGAATACCGCTCGATTGATATTTATATTTTCTTTTAACACTGTAACATATTCTAATAGAGACGAGTAATAGACAGATGTAAAAATTACAAGAAACTTAATAAAATTACTTAAATAATAAGCTATAAATAGCAAGATATCAAGTTAAAGTTAAAGTTATAAATATAAAGTACCAAAAAGAATATGTTATATACACAGATTGGCAAACCCAATCTAATTAAAAGCTCCTAACAGAATTCTATAGAAATTTTAAACCTACCTTCAATTAGGGCGTAGTAATAAATAATTGCCCTATGCATTATAGTCATTAAGATAAACAACGTTTATATGAACATCAACCATAATATTAACGATTATCTTTACGATTTACTGCATAACTAAAGTAATTTTTTTTTGTAAAGAATCTATGTGCAGCACACTGGCTGGTTATTGTAAATTTCTTACCTTTGCAGCTCGTTTTCTCTCGCAAGTGCTTCTTTTTTTCTTTCTGTCATGGCACAGTGGAGACCCACGGGGGATAAGACTGCTTAACCCGTCTTCCACCAGCAGCATGGGTGGTTGGGGGCGAGTGAGCGCCAGTGCACGCTCTTCATAGAGCTATCGTGACTGTCCCAAAGAACTGAAAAGCGGGAAAAATCGGGCAGGCCTCTGCCATTCTGTCTAGTGTGGTGGAAAACAAAAACCTCTACCGGGAGAGATCTCAGGTGCAAGAACCGAGGCCATCTGAAAAGCCGTATTTATGTGCTTGAATAATTATAACCTTATAGCAGTTACCAAAATGTGGAGGGTAAGTGATGGAACCAAAGTAATTGTTTTGCCCTCGATGGCTTCCATAATCACTTCTTTAACCCGTATACCTTCGTATGTATTTCAAAGGGCTAAGTTCTGGAAGGCTAATTTCGTAAAGCACGGGGGATGGTCTGAGGAAGGATCCACTAGCGTGGTTAAGTTTGAGTTAATTCGTATGTTATTTGTAGTGGTAATGTCAAGTACATTTGAGGTCTATTTTCTAGATATATGTGTTTATTCTGAAGGGCTGGAAACAAGGAAACCTCTTTTTCAGGGTAGTTGTGCAGTTCAAGTCCATTAGGATTTTCCACTTTTCTATTCCAAGAAGGGCCTTTGCAGTTCAAGACCCCGCAAAGAATTTACAAGTTACGGCAGTCCCGGGGACTTATATGTAGAAACCTTAACCACGTCCCCTTGATTAACCTTGATAGTCCCTGCTTCAATAAAATTTAACTTGCCAAGCAGTATAAGCAGTGAGCTTTCGACTTTTTAATAATAATGACTGCTCCCCCTCTTCTTTTGAGTAGGCCCTAGCCGGCCGGTAAAGCATGGGAAAATTTCTAAGATGTCCTGGTTTTAAAAGGGCCTTAACTATTAACTAATATCAATTTTCTGACTATTTAAGAAAGAGTTAAAATTCTTTACTTTTGCGCAAAAGACAGTCTGCGCTCTAAATAACGTGCGAACAATTTTAAGCTGGCGATGAGAGGTTATCATAAAGACTAAACGATCGTTAACATTCTTGCCGTTGCTGGGATGGGCTTTCGTAAATTTTTAAATTATGTTCGTAGTCTTTTGACTTTAGCTTCATGTTAGCGGCGGAAGCGTAGCCCTTTTCGTTAAATGGTTAAACTGTTTTCTGAGAGAGATTTTCTTTACTTAGATTATTCTTGGATGAGGTGCAATTAATTGTCTGGGAGTATGGCTCTGTCGTGCGATTTGTTGAGGGCAATGTTCGTGCACGTGGGAATGTCTTGGGCGATAAGGGAAACGTCGATAGTTAGCGGTGTGCTCGCCTGGACAGTTAGCGCATTTCGGAGAGAAATCTGGCTAACCTAATGATAAACCCTTAAGCCTTTATTACTAAGCGATTGTACAGGAACACGTTATGAATGTGAGGATCAGTTAAACACATGAATTCACCATACCGTGATTAATAATTGGCTTCGCAGCTCAACTACTAACACAACTCTTATTTTTTTCTATCGTAAAATATATATATTAAATATAAATTATATTATTCGTGAATCTGCTTATAATATACAACGGGTAAACTTAGTTGAAAGTATATTTCAATATCTTTTTAATAACTATAAATGAATAATAACTTCTATGTAACTTTTTAACTTATTAGTATTAATTAAACCATTTTTAACGTTTATAATGATATATACATATCTTTTTACTCCTGTATTTTCCGAAGAAAATGTATATGAAGTTAATATAAATTTTAAGTACATCTCAATTTCTGTTTAAACAGTGAATGCACATTAATACAAAAATGAGGGTTCAGTTTTGGGGTGATGGTAATAATTGATACTTAAAATATACCTTAAAAAATTAAAGGTATAATTAAGATACTTTTTTTATTTTATTATAATTATCGTTAATTTTTAGTAAATTTTCTTTTTTTATTTATAAAAAGTCATTCTTATCTTATAAGATTTGCTTAACAGCAATATTATAGAAAACTAAGAACTTTTATAATAAATATTTCTAAATTAGATCAAATATATAAATAACGCATGTCTTTTTTGCTTTTAATAAAGGTAAACAATTATTTACGCAATTAATTTTTTTTTAGTATATGATACTTCTCGTAGGAAAAAGGAGTATTTAGTATTTTTTTGTATTTACCGAAAATTTAAACTTAATAAAAACTTTTGTCACTAGTCTATATATTTTTTAATTTGTTAATTGATACTATTAGAACTTTTTGTGTGTGCATTATTATTTTGATTCACTTTTTTTTTGTAGTAATAAAAAAATATAAAAAATATTATTTTTATTTTTTTTTTTTTTCAAAAAATCAATTATAAAACTATTATTGTAATGTATAAATTTTTAATAATAATATAATTTTAAGAAAAGAGCCAATGAAAGATGAAAAAGAGCCGCAAACCCAATGGGAAGAAGGGAGGCTTTTTTTTGCATTCTCGTAACCAATGGGATTAAACTAGAAAATAACTTTGTTCCTAATTATAGTCAACATTATTACTAATAATAATTATAATATTATAGGTAATAATAAAAAGTATTAGTAAATAGAATTATTTATAGCAATTAAAATTATTTTAGTATGAATTAAAAATAATAAGGTAGACAAAAAAAGTAATAATAATAATAAAGTAAAATAGTTATAATAATAGATATTTAGTATGAAATAAAAGTATTATTATTGATAATCAAGTAAAAAAGTTATAATAAAATTAATATTTTAGAATAAAAATAAAAGTAATAATAATAATAAAGTAATTTAGTTATAAAATGAATATTTAGTACAAAAGTAAAGGAATTATTACATTTACATAAATTAATTAAAAAAATAAGAAGTAGAATAAATTATAGTAATAAACATTCTAGTATATGAAAATAATAATAATAATAATAGTAATAATAATAATAATAATAATAATAAAGCACCTGAAATAGTGAAGCTACATATGATAATAAGCCACTTGACAAACTCGTTTGGAATTATTAACAAAATCTTTTATAAAAATAACAAAAATAAAAAGTAAATACTTTGTTATAAATATAAACTGTTTAAAAAACAATATGTATTCTTTATTTTTGTAAATATTATAAAAAGTTTATATAATTATTTTATAAAAAAAAAGAAAGATTAAATATTATAGTATATAATTTTTTTCTGGATATAATATTAATCGTAGTAGAAGTTTAAATAAATATAATAATAAAAAAGTATCAAGTCTTTTATAGTATTATTAAAAAACTTTTATTGTTTTAATATAAATGTAATATAAGTAATAATAAAAAAATAAAAAAGTACAACTTTTTTTATTATTATAATTTTAATATAAAAAAAAGGTATAAAATAATAATATATAAAAATGAAACGCATTTAGTATTTCTTATTATTATAGAAAAACTTTTTTATTATATAAATATAATATTATATAATAAATAAATAATAAAGGAAATATTTTATTACAAGAAAAGTCAAGAAAAATAATATAAAAATGAAACGAATCAAATTTTTTTTATTACAACAAAAAACTTTTTCTTAAGTATATATATAATAAAACTTTTTAAATTAAATAATAATAAATTTTAAAAAAAAATTATATTATATAAATTTTTTTGTTATTAAAATATAAAATAACAAAATAAATAAGTTAAAAGAAAAATGAGTTATTATAATAATACACTAAAAATGTAACGCATAAAGTAAATACTTCCTGATAATAAAATTTATTATTAAAAAAGTAAAATAAAGTTAATAGAAATAATATAGAAATGATAAAAGTAAATATTTATAATAAAGTATGTAAATAATAATAGTAAATATTTTGCTTACTGACGCGGGAATGTATATAGTATTGGAATAACCAAATAGACAGAGAAGCTCTACCAATTTAACACTTTCACGTACAAGAAATTTTAAAAAGGCCCAAAGAATCAAAGGAACCTTCAAATTATAAATAATGTATAAATAAATAAACTTTTTATATCATAATAAACGAGTCGATATTTTATAATAATAAAAACAATTTTTATAGAAGAAAAAATATAAGTTTAGTGTAATTATTAATAATACTTTTCACTTTACAAATAATAAATAAATTTTTTTTTAAGAATTTAATAATAATATATAAAAATGTAAAAGTTATTAATATCAATAATTTTTTATTGATCGTTTCTAAATAAAAAATAGTGAATTGGAGAAAAAAATTATATAAATTGAGTATAATAAATAATAAAATATAATACTTTTTACTTTACAATCAATATATATGTAAAAATTTTATTATTCGATAAGGAAATAATAATAAACTAAAAAATTTATTTACAATTAATAAAAAGTTTACTACTTATTAGTGCTGTTTTAGAAATAATATAAAACATATTTTATTAATAAATTTAACAGACAAAAATAATAATAAACCTTTTAATTATTACTTATTTACAATAAAAGTTAAATAAACTTTTTAATAATAATTTTATAATAGTAATAATTTTAATATATTCTTATAAATATTAAAGTAAGGCGATTATAAAAAAAAATCTAAAGAAAAACTAAAACTGTAAAATATATAAAAGTAAAAAAAAGTCAATATACTACTTAAAAGTTGTTTTAAATATCATTTTTTTTAAATAATATAAAATAATGTAAAATAATAATTATATAATAAATTTATTAAAATTATTAATTAAGTTTCATCATAAAAAATTGAAGAATTCATAAAAAGTAAATGTTACTTATAAACTTCTTCAGACCTTAATAACATAATATAGAAAATTAATTAATTAAGAAAATATAATAGTAATTAATATAATTTTTACCACTACTAATTTTTTATATTATTAAAAAAAAGCATTTTTACAATAGTTTTCAATATCACTAATTTTTTTATATTATATAATAGAAAAATAGAAAATATAATAATAATTATATACAAACAACTTTCTACTATTAATTTTTATATAATTAAAAAAATAAAAAATTTAAGAAACAGTAAAAAAATATAATTATAGTAAAAATTTAATAGCAAACAAGTTTTTACTTATTTTTTATAATAAAATTAAATAATAAAAAATTTGCCTACTTTTTATTCTTTTAGCCATAAAAATAAAAAAACATTTAACTACTATTAATTCCCTTAAATAATAATAATGAGAAAAAATTTTTAATGCTACTTTTTTTTTTATAATTAAAATATAAAAAGTACCACAATAATATACAGATACAAAACGGTGGCCGCCAGCGTTAAACGGCGCAAGAACTGTTCTGGTTGGTCAAACTCTATTAAAGTAGAGAAGATGCTCGTCAGCGCTAAAAAGTTAGTAAAAAAAATTCTCAGTAAACTGTAGTAAAAAAAAAAATTGAAATTAAAAAAAAAATAAATTTACTAAAAAAATTGTTAAAATAAATTTTTCTTTTTAAAGAAAATGAAAGAAAAAAGGTAATTTTTTATAAAATTTTGATTTCTTAAAAAAATTATTAAAATATTTTTACTTTTAAAAAGATAATAAGTAAAATGTACATACTGGAAAAAATATTAAATTAATTTTAATTTATAAAAAGGTTGACAACAAAAATGTATAAAAAACTTTTTCTTTACTAAAAAAAATTAAAAAGTAATTTACTTATATAAAGTTATTAAGAAAAATTTATATTAAATAATAATTGTAGTAAAAAATCTTAAAATATAAATTAAACTTTTATAAAGTTATTAAGTAATATTAAAATTAAATTAGAATTGTAGTAAAAACATTATGAGAAATATAAAAAACTTGATTCAACTAAAAAAATTATAAAAAATAAATTTAAAATATATAAACTAATTAAAAAAATTTAAATTAAGTTTCTATTATATTATAAAGTTACTATCAAATAAATGCAAATAAAATTTTATTATTATTAAAAAAAATTTGTAAGAAAAAGTTTTAAATATAGTTAGTAGTAAAATAGTTAGTTGTTATTTCTATTAAAAAAGGAATTAAAAAAATTCTTAATAAAAATAATATTTAGAGAAAGTTTGATTAAAAATATTTTAAAAAAATAAATAATAAAGTTTTACAATTAAAAAAAAACACAACTTTGGTACAAATAAAATCATTATTAAATACTTTAAAATAATTTGAATTTAGATACTACTTTCATATAGAATCTTTTTCAAAAAATATATTAAAAACTTATATTTAAAATTACTTGTAAAATTTAATTTTCTATAAAATAATAAAAGAAATTTTGTATCAAATTTTTATTTATAAATTATAATATTGAAAATAATTCAAATAAAATTTTCATTAAAGAAAATTTGAAAAAATTAATAATTAAAAAAGTATTAAAATATTAAAAAAAATTCTATTGAATAAGTTTTAAAAGGGAGTCTATACTGAATTTTTATTTATAAAAATTTTATAAATAATTATTCCAAAGAAAATCTTGATATAATTTTTAATAAAAAAATTTCTCTAAAAAATTTATATATTAAAAGTTTTAATTTTAATCTATTAAAAAGTTATAAAAAAAATTCATTAAAGATTTCTTTAAAAAGTTTATATATAAATAGTTTTAAACTTAAAATCTATAAAACAAGATTTAATTTTTGAAAAAGTTAGAAAGAATTCGTATTAAATTTTTTTTTATTTATAAAATTATTATTAAAAATTATATTAATAAAAACCAAATAAAAAATTTTATATAGAAATTCTTAAAATTTTAACATTTAGAAAAAATTTAAAGATATTTATTAAAGAAATTCAAAAATTAATAAGAAAAAATTTTATTATATAAAAAGTCATTAAGAATTCTTATATTAATAAATAATTCAAACCACAAATATTATAAAATTTAATTTTTAGAAAAAGTTATAAAGAAAAACATTTCAAAATTTAATTTAAAAGAAATGCTTATTAAAAATATTATAAAAAATAAAAATAAGATTTTCATAAATAAATTAATATTAACAAAAATTTAATTTTTTTTTATTAAAGAAATTTTAAAAAAAATTTAAAAGGTTTTTAATGAAAAAGTAAATCAATTTTTTTACTTCAAAAGAATTTAAATATTAAGAATTTTTTTTTATAAACTTCTTTCACAGTTCAATATTTTTTTGTTTTATTACAAAACCTTAACGTTCTATTATAAATTTTTATGTAAAGTTTAAACAATTTTCGTTTTATAAAATATTTTGTTAATTTTAAAAATTTTATTATATTAATCCTTTTTAAAATTTATTATAAATATATAAATTTAATTATAAATTTTAAGTAATACTTATAAAATTCTTATAAAAAATTTTATAATATTATCATTTTATATAATATTTTGTTAATTTTAAAAAATTTATTAAGTTTAAATTTTTACTTATAATCTAAATATAAAATTTTGTTTTAATAGCCTTCTTTTTTTTTTTTTAATAATTTTTTATGTAGTATTGAATATTTTATAAAGTATATTTCAAAACTTTAGTAAATTTAGATTTTATAAAAAAAATAAAAAATAAACTTGAATAAACTTCTTTATTATTTAAAAAATTTATTTTCATTTTTTGTAATCCAATTAAAACGTTTAATATGAAATTATTGGATTTTTATAAAACCCTTAAAGTTTTCATGATTGATAAAAATTTTTATTAACTTTTATAAACTTTTTTTTTATTTTTTCTGATTTTTTTTTTTAATTTACCGAAAATATATTAAATATTTTATTATATTATTTAGTTTTACTAAATTTTTCTACTTTTTTTTATAATTTTCTTTTCAAGGATTTATTAAAAATATTATATATTTAAAAAAAATTTTTTTTATAATACTTGTGATATTTTTATATTATTGAATAAATATTATAAGTTTTTTAAATATTTCTTACAAAATAGGATATTATTAATACTATTCATATAAAAAGGTTTATAAAAATTTAAAAAACTTTTATTATTAAGTATAAATTTATGATAATTTTCATAATTTTAAAACTTGTAAATATGTGTTATTTTTTTTATTATTTTTTATAAAAAAATTAAAAATTCTTTAAAAGTTTTATGGTAATTTATTAATTTACAAATTTTTATGTCAGCAGTATTAATAAATATTTAGTTTTTAGCAAAACATTTATTATAATATTTTCTAAGTTTATATATAAATTAAAAGTTTTTATTATCTTTTACTTCAATATATAAAAAAAATTTTATAATCAAAAAAGGAACTTTTTAAAAAACTTAATAATTCTATATATAATTACTTTTATTTAATACAAATATTAAATAATTTTCTAAATAATAATATCAACTTCTTTCTTATATAACTTTTTTAAAAACTTTTATAAATATATTATAATAAACGTATCAAATGAATATATTCATCATTGTTTTTTCTATTCACTAATATAAACTTTTATAAAAATTTACTAATAATAATATTTATTATTATTTCTACCCATAATTTAAACTTAATAACTAATTTATTTTGTTATTTTTTCTATTAATAAATATACATTTTTATTAATATAATAATGAACATATTTATTATTATTACTTTTTCTATAAATATATATAAACTTTCATAATAAACTTATAATGTAAGTAAATTTATTATTATTATTTCTAATAAATATATATAAAAACTATAATAATGAACTTAATCAAAAAATTATTACTTTTATTACAAACTTTTCAATTAGAAACTTATTCATAATATTTTTTATTAATATTTTTTCTATTAATAATTTTTAAAAACTTTTACGACCAATTTTATTTATTTATTCTATAACTTTTATATGAAATTATCAATAAATAATTTTGTTTTCAGTGAATACAAAAAAATTTATAATAAACAATTTTTTATAGGAAGTTATTATTACTTATTTGAAAAATATGAATAAAAACTTTTTTTTATTAACTCTACGAATATATAACGTAGAATATTTTTTAATTCTAAAATGCTACATAATTAT